CTGCACTTGCTGCGGGAGTCTGCGTGAGAATGATGGGAGTATCAGGATGTGGAGGGCGTGGATTGGGGAAATGCTATTGTGTGTTGATTAGGGGAAGTGGATTTACTAATACTTCCTGTGGAATTTAACCCGAGCGAAGATTGACTCGGGGGGGAGGGGTGGGGGGGGCGCTCCCTACCCCCCCCCGCCCCACCGCCGCGTCACTGACTGCGAGCGTGGCAGTGAGTGCGAGCGGGCGAGAGCGAGAGCGAGGGCGCGAGCCGCGGGCAGGTTGGCACAGATCACTGCTGTGTTAGTGTCACACCCTCAGAGCGAGTGTGAGGGGGTGACGGTGTGCGAGTGTGACGGGGCAGGTTTAGCGTGGCTCTCTCTCTCTCTCTTCCCCCCCCCACCCGCAACCCACCCCTCGGGCTGCGCGTGTGTCAGTCAGTCAGTTAGTGAATCCCTTCGCTCTCTGGCACCTCCTTCCCTCCCTCTCCGACCTCCTCTCTCTCTACCCAATCCACCTCTCTCTACCCAATCTACCCCCTCCGCTCGACTGGGAGCCACCGACCGGCCTCGTCAGTCCCCCATCATCGGAGGCTGAGCCTTCAGCCACTACGCCCCGAAACTCTAGAACGTTCTCCCTCAATGCCCCCCGTCTTTCCCCCCCCCAACCCACCCCTCTCTCTCTCTCTCTCTCCTCTTTTTCAAGTCCCGCTTGAAGACCCTCCTCCAACAACGTTCCTTCCGCCTCCCACCCCCCGCTCCAGTCTCCGCCGCTGTTTGAAGCGCTCAGAGGCGCTGTCCTGGGCGGAGGGCGCGATTTAAGTGCAAGTTGTTGTTGCTGTTGCAGTAGTGGCACTCTCTCCCTGTAGCTGTGTTACTCACCGCACACAGCAGGACCTGTCCGGAGCCCAGTGCCCGGCTCTGGGACTCGCACGTTCCCCGCTGTCCTGCCTGTCCGCTTGGAGACATGAGGCCAGAGCAGAGCACAGTGGCTTCTCTGACACACAGCGCCCAGTGACAGTGACAGAGCCACAGGTCACCGAGTAACACAGCGACAGGTTACTGATTAACAGGGAGTCCAAGTCAGTGACACAGCTACAGGTTACCCTCGTCACCCCAGCCCTCGCCAGGCTCCCCCGGGCTCCCCATCACCTCACCCCAGCCCTCGCCAGGCTCCCCCGGGCTCCCCATCACCTCACCCAGCCCTCGCCAGGCTCCCCGGCCCCCATCACCTCACCCCAGCCCTCGCCAGGCTCCCCCGGGCTCCCCATCACCTCACCCCAGCCCTCGCCAGGCTCCCCGGGCTCCCCATCACCTCACCCCAGCCCTCGCCAGGCTCCCCGGGCTCCCCATCACCTCACCCCAGCCCTCGCCAGGCTCCCCCGGGCTCCCCATCACCTCACCCCAGCCCTCGCCAGGCTCCCCCGGGCTCCCCATCACCTCACCCCAGCCCTCGCCAGGCTCCCCGGGCTCCCCATCACCTCACCCCAGCCCTCGCCAGGCTCCCCAGGCTCCCCATCACCTCACCCCAGCCCTGCCAGGCTCCCCCGGCTCCCCATCACCTCACCCCAGCCCTCGCCAGGCTCCCCAGGCTCCCCATCACCTCACCCCAGCCCTCGCCAGGCTCCCCGGGCTCCCATCACCTCACCCCAGCCCTCGCCAGGCTCCCCCGGGCTCCCCATCACCTCACCCCAGCCCTCGCCAGGCTCCCCCGGGCTCCCCATCACCTCACCCCAGCCCTCGCCAGGCTCCCCCGGGCTCCCCATCACCTCACCCCAGCCCTCGCCAGGCTCCCCGGGCTCCCCATCACCTCACCCCAGCCCTCGCCAGGCTCCCCGGGCTCCCCATCACCTCACCCCAGCCCTCGCCAGGCTCCCCGGGCTCCCATCACCTCACCCCAGCCCTCGCCAGGCTCCCGGGCTCCCCATCACCTCACCCCAGCCCTCGCCAGGCTCCCCCGGCTCCCCATCACCTCACCCCAGCCCTCGCCAGGCTCCCCCGGCTCCCCATCACCTCACCCCAGCCCTCGCCAGGCTCCCCCGGCTCCCCATCACCTCACCCCAGCCCTCGCCAGGCTCCCCGGGCTCCCCATCACCTCACCCCAGCCCTCGCCAGGCTCCACCGGGCTCCCCATCACCTCACCCCAGCCCTTGCCAGGCTCCACCGGGCTCCCCATCACCCCAGACCTCGCCAGGCTCCACCGGGCTCCCCATCACCCCAGCCCTCGCCAGCGCCTCGTGCCCCATGTTCCACCATCGGTGGCCGCGCTTTCAGCCACTACGCCCCGATTCCCCACTCCGTCTCGCCCCCACTCCCCCTTTCTTCCCCATCTTCAGGTGACCTCTTCGGCGGTCACCTCCCCACCCCCTCCTCCGCCAACGTCAAGCGCTCTGGGACGTTACCCTGTGTGAGGAGCGCTGTGGAAACGCAAGTTGTTGTTGCCGATTAACACGCCAACCAGTCAGCGACTGAGTGACTCGACTATGTGCAAGTCAGCACTGCAAATATTTTCCATAAATGATTTATTAAATGACTAACGCAGCCCTAAATATTTCATAACTGATCTCTCACGTGGATCAAGACAGTGGCTGCCTGTGTCAACGCTATCAATAAATAATAATTTCCTCGCCTCTGATCCAGGTCCCCTTGTAACCCTGAGACCTCTCGAAGCGCTCGACGGGATTCGTGGTGAAGTGTAGTGACTGCGCACGCTGTAGGCGAACGAGGCAGCCCATTTGCGCCCAGCGAGGTCTGCGCAAAAACGGCCATCGAGGGAACGAGTGACTTGATCAGGTTTCGCCCTGGCCGGGGGGAATCGAACCCGGGTCCTGTCGCTTGTGAGGAGGTGAGGGGGGGGCGGGGGGGACGAGGCTGGGGATTGGGACTTAGTCGGGATAGGGGGGAAAAAAAAAGGACAGGGACGAGAGAGGGAGAGGGACACATTACTCCCACGGGTTCGGTCTCGGAGAGATCAGCCCGTAACGGTTCTCCTGGCTTTACGTCAGCGGTTTATCCCTGGGGGGGGGGGGGGGTTACATAACAGCCGGCTCCTGACTCTCTGCGGAGAGAAAGAGAGAGAGAGAGAGAGAGAGAGAGAGAGAAAGTACGTAAGTGGAGCGAGGAAAAGAGGGAGGGAGGGAGGTGTAGAGAGAGAGAGAGAAAGTGTTTTGGAATAGAATCATTGGCTACTCACTGCGGACTATGTCAGCAGCAAAATTATCACACCAGCCCCGAAATGGTTTCCTCTGTAGGGAGCAGTTGGTGTGAGAATGAGATCGCATTGAAACAAAACACACACACGTACGTACAGAGCAGCGCAGAGCAGCGCAGCGCACAACAACAACACCGCCACCGAGAACAGATGACCCACTTCGCGCCCAGAAGGTAAGCGAACAACTGACAGAGGGGCGTAGAGTAGAGTACGTCTTCTCTGAACTGTTGTCAGTCACTGACTTCATCAGGCGCACCCCCCCCCCCCCACCCCGAGTTTTAATTTAAGTTCTCTGGGACTCTACCCCGCTGTATAAATGCAAGTTGTTGTTGTCGTCGTCGTCGTCGTGGTCATTTTACGCAAAGGTTTTAAACGCCTCTCTCACCCTTCAGCGCCCAAATGCTAAATGTTCTCCAGTCGGTCAACTGATAGTGGCGGGACATTTCATGCAGAGAGAGAGAGAGAGAGAGAGGGAGAGAGAGGTTAGAGGGTTACAAGGAAGGGCAGAGTGATAGATAAAGAGAGAGAGGGCACGGAGGGAGTTAGAGAGAGCAGCTTAAAGAGGAGGAGAGAGAGAGAGAGAGAGAGGAGACGGACAGAAAGGATAGAGACAGAGGATGATAAAGAGGAAGGTCAAAGAGAGCTAAGGACCGAAAGGAGATAGAGAAGGCAGGATTGAGAGAGATAGAGGATAGGATAGAGGGAGAGATAGAGGGTAAGATAGAGAGAGAGATAGAGGGTAGGATAGAGGGAGAGATAGAGGGTAAGATAGAGAGAGATAGAGAGAGATAGAGGGTAGGATAGAGGGAGAGATAGAGGGTAAGATAGAGAGAGTTAGAGAGAGATAGAGGGTAAGATAGAGAGAGATAGAGAGTAATATACAGAGAGATAGAGGGTAGGATAGAGAGAGATAGAGGGTAGGATAGAGGAGAGGATTAGAGGCAGAACGGCACCAATCATGTTCCTGCAACATCGGAATATCTCAAAGCGCTTCACGGGATTTACTGTAAAGTGTAGTGACTGTTCTACGGGCGAACGCACAGCGAACTTCCTGCAAACAACCGTGAAGCGAGCGATTGTATCTGGAATTGTCGTCCACGACACTCGGAGAGAGAGAAACTCTCTCTTTTTTAATTATTCAGAGAGGATCTTTACGGTCCGTCTGAATAGGGCACAGACGGGGGGGGGGCGGGGGGCGGTGGGGGGGGAGGGGGGGGGTGAGCTGGGTTTAAAGCCTCATTGGCGGAGAAATTAGCTCGTGAGATTTTTATTAATAGTAATAATTCTTGCATTTTAATGCAGCGCCTCATCCCGTCGTCGAGACGTCTCAAAGCGCTTCACAGAATATACTGTGAGGTGTAGTGACCACGTTTTTTTTTTCTTTTCTTTTCTTTCGTTGAGGGTTTGTTACCCCCCGGGGAATCAATCGACCGGGTGCCTACTGACAGCCGGGTAAGCAGAGCCGTGCGTGTGGAGTAAGGCAAGTTGCCTCGGGTTTCGCCCCGCACCCGGGAATCGAACCCGGGTCCTCTCGCGTTCGAGGCGAGCGCTCTCCCGCTGCGCTCGGTGAGTTTGGAGCCCGGTCCCGCGCAGGGGGTTAAACTGCGGGCGAATGTTTACTCGGTCCGGGCCAGTTCCTGGGCTCAATTCCTGGATATCCACGTATTGACAGACGAAAATGCAGTCATGAAACAAAAATGGTATCTCATCACATATCTGTTTCCTGTAGGGAGAGGGGGGGGGACGGGACGGGGGGTGGCGGAGGGGGGAAGGGAGCGGGAGGTCACTGAGTCGGACTTATTCGCCAAACAATAAGTCGCGCTGCCCCACACCCACACAGACGTTATTTATATTATAATTCTGTGGCCGCTCGATCCAAGACGGTTTCTCTGTGTCGACGCTGCTGTGGGCAATTGGCTGCCTGGTTTCGCCCACAAAATACACAGTCACCCCCCGCTTTACGGTGAAGCGCTTTGAGACGTCTCGAAGGGGGAGGGGGGGTGGTGGGGGCAGGGGTGGTGGGGAAATGGGATGGGGAAGGAACGGACAGAGAGGATAAATAGAGAGAGAGAGCGTTCTCATCTCTGACCAACTGAACTTAATGTCCACGCACATCTTTCAGGTTTTTTTTTTTTTGGGGGGGGGGGGGAGGGCGGGGGTGGGGGGGGCTGGGGTGCGGGGAGGGAGACAAGGTGAGATGCAGCGAGAGAGAGAGAGAGAGAGAGAGAGAGATGGCGTGGGGGGTGGGGGGTAAATGGTGAGAGAGAGAGAGAGAGAGAGAGAGAGAGACGGAGAGTGAGAGATCGAATGTGGAGAGTAAGGGCAGAGAGTGAAGGACATGGGGAAGGTCTCTCACCCTCAGTCACTCTCTCTCTCTCTCTCTCGGTACGTGCAGTCAGTGAGAGCCTCTGTGACCCGTTAATCCGCTGGCTCCGGGGGCTGTCGCCCGCCTGCCCGCTCGCTCCGTCTCACACCTCGGCCCCGTCACAGCGATTACCGCCTTCCGTGTGATCCTAATCCCCTCCAACACAACACAACACAACACAGCACACAATCAATCGGCACCAGAGGAGCACCAGAGGGACGTTCAGGATAGGAAGTCCCCTTCGGGCCATCTGAGGTGGAATCCCTGTGGCTCGGAGCTTAAAGCCCTCGCCTCGCGGGCGAGAGGAGCCGGGTTCGGTTCCCGGGCGGGTCGGGGCGCAACCTGAGGCAAGTTTCCTTACTCCCCCCCCCCACCACCCCAAAAAAATGCGGTCACTCAATCCCCCACTGTTCGTGGGGACACTGCTGATCCCTGACCCCCATCTCGGGTCTGAAATGCTGCCACTGTCCAGCGCCTTGGGACGTCCTCCCGCCGTGGAAGACGCCGTACGCCTGTAATCTTCTTGTTGTTGTTGTTGTGCGCAATTGGCTGCCATATTTTCCCCCCTCCACACACAAAATCCACAGTCACTCCACTTTACAGCGTACCCTGTGAAGCGCTTTGAGACGTCTCGAAGGATTATTAGCGTTATTATCCGGTACTCCCCACCCGACTGCTCCTATCACCAGCGCCCAGATATTCCTTAGATGTTGCTCCCCCTCCCCACCCCTCCCTCCCTCTCTCCTTCTCACTCCCCGCCCCCCCCACCCCTCTCTCTCTCCCTCTCTCGCTGTGAGAATATTAGTCGGCTTTAAATAGCCGAGCAGCTGAATGTAAGGCCAGTCCCGCTAATCCAATCCAGGGATTTCACTGCCGTGCAGGTACCAGCGCCTGAGATTGGCGTCAAACTCGCTCAGTTGCAGGAGCTCCTGAGAAAAGCGTTCACACCCTGGGTTCCCACTCCCCCCCACCCCATCCCCCAATCTCAAGCCCCCTCTGCGCCCCCCCACCCACCCACCCACCCACCAATCCCGTTGGAAGATAAAACCACAGCGGATATCAAGAGATCTCCACGCTGAAGGTAGATATACCGATCGACGACGACGTTTAACCACCGAACGTTCGTAAATCCTCCCCTTCTTGATGCGGCGCCAATAGCGTCGCAAGAAAGTTTGGCCCAGAATGTACCCGGTGGGTTCGCTTAGCGGCGTTTTCTGCGCGGGGCTTTGTGACGTGATAAGGCGCCGTATCTGTCGGCGAGGCTGAGCGTTAAGAGCTCTTCTGTCGAGGGTGTTGTTTTGTTAACGTCACGCAAACAGCCGTGAAGTGAGCGAGAGAATTCTTAATCCGAGGGGGTGGACCTGGGGTGAAGGGGAGCCAATTCCCCTTCACTTTTCCAACAGCGTCACGGAGATCTTTGACATCCTCCTTCACTGAATGGTATTCGCGCAATACATCCCGTGAAACGCTTTGAGACGTCGCTATAAACCGCAGCAATTGGCTGCCGTGTTTCACCCCCAAAAATGTACAGTCAATCCACTTTACAGTATAGCCTGTGAGACCCTTTGAGACGTTCCCAGCGACGTGATGCAGGAGCTATAACCCAAATGATATATGTTATCATTAAATTAACGTACAGGTGGATCTGCAAAAGATGCCGTGATTTGAAAAGACTAGGGAGCTCTTTCGCCCCCAAAAATTATTAACTTAAAGGAGGGGAAAAAAAAACACGCGCACACAGGCGAGGAAACCAACGGACAACAGAGAACAAAAAAAATCTAATTGAGCCGGACTCGCTACGATGTGGGGGGGGGGTCCCAGTTCCAAAGCGATTTCCCTGTTGAGTGGGATGGTTTTATGGGTGTCGGAACCTCGCGTTGAGTGAGGTGACAAGCCAGAGGGAGATTTACGCTACTCCCTGACAAAGTGCCTCTTGTTTTCCTCTGGGAGCGTGTGAAGTACTCGCAGTGAACCAGAGGAGGGAGGGAGGGGAGGAAAATAAGAGTGGGGTGGGGAGTGCGCGGAGAGAGAGGGAGGGAGAGTGGGAGAAGGAAGGACAAGAGGTGTGCAGAGGGAGGGATGGGGAGAGGGAGGGGAAGGGGAGGTGTGTGGAGGGATGGCCGGAGGGAGGAGAAGTGATGGAGGAAGGATGTGATTGGAAAGCCAATCCCTGATATATGTGTGGGGGTGAGGTGTGGGGGTGGGGATGAATCTGCGGTCCACAGAGGATAGCCAACACGGGAAGGGACACAACAAGAACAAACAAGCCCCCCCCCCCCCCAACCTCCCCCCCCACCCCCCAGCGAAGCAGTGGATTGATTGCTCTGTTGTTTTGGCTCCACGTCAACTCCGCACTTGGCAAAGGCTGAGCCGTGTCTGTTTGTAAAGCACCTCCTTCACTCAACTCTAACAGCATTGCGAGGCGCGGGGCGGGGGGATGGCGGGGGTTAAAGGGGAGAGAGAGAGAGAGCGAGAGGGGCTACTTCCAACCGACACCCCCTGGGGTTCGATTCCCAGGAAGGGCCGAACCTTAGGGAAGTTTCCTTACTCTCCCCCCACACACACACACACACACACGGCTCCGTTTATTTAGCAGTGAGTAGGAACCCGGTTGTCAGTCGATGGATCACTTTTCCGGGGTGGGGGCTCGGGGTGGGTGGGTGGGGGGGGGGGGTTAATAATCCCTCCATTTAAAAAAACGTTAATGAGCATTTGGTGGCTCGATCCACAGCTGCCGCCCACGAAATACACAGTCACTCCACTTTGCAGCGCTTTGCCCGCGCGCGACCGGCTGCCGTGGTTCTCCTGCGAACTCCGCGGCGAATCCACTTTACTCCACATTCTGCGAACGCCTTCGGAAACCTCGATGAGGTGATACGGCGCCACATATTGAACGGAAGGATCGCGGCGATGATTATTATTATTATTATTATCACTACTACAACGCTTTGTGGAGTCCTGTAGCTCAGTGGTTAGAGCACTCGCTTTGCAAGTGAGAGACCTGAGCTCAATCCCAGGCAGAGGGCGAAACCTTGGGCAAGTTTCCTTACTCCACACAGAGCCTAATAATAATCCCTCCAAAACCAAAAACAATAATAAATTGGTCATTTTCAATCCACGACTGTTTGTGGGACATTGCTGTGCGCAATTGGCTGCCGCGTTCGCCCACAAATATACAGTCAATTCACTTTACAGTGTGTTCTGTGAAGCGCTTTGGGACGTCCTCCCGACGTGAAAAGCGCTATATCAAATGCAAGGATTATTATTATTATTATTATTATTATTATTATTACTTTACAGTGAAATCCTGGGAGAAAGGCTCCGGGCCAAAATACAAGCGGGTCGTTGCGTTTGAACAAGAACTAATTACATGTGTACGGAGCCTTTCTCGCGGTGGGGTGGGGTGGTGTGGTGTGGGGCGGTGGGTTGGGAAATGGATGCTCGGAGGTTTAGCCCCTCTCCTGTAGGGAGGGAGGCTGGTGTAGAGTAGGCTTTTGGTGTTGGAAGGGTTACAGGGCGTCTGATGGACATTTCATCCCCTCCTCCCTGTTTACGCAGCTCTTTGATTCACGACTGTATAAACAGGATTTGATGGAATTTAACCGCATGAGGACAGTGAGTATCCCCCAGAACATCGCTCTCCCTCTCTCTCATGTACTCTCTCCGCTCACCGCACAGTCCAGGAACACACGCAATCACGTCTGGGGAGATACAGGGTCAACTCCGTGACAGGTGCGTATTTGGACAGTCGGGTGTGGGGGTGGTGGGGGGGTGGTGGGGAGGAGGGGAGGGGAGAGGATCGATGGACAGAAGATTGTGGGGGCGAGGGAAGGAAGGCTTTCAGTAGAGGGAGGGAGAAAAAGCCGTGCATTGTTATACTCTTCCTTCCAGATAAAACGTTAGCCAGCTGTGCGCAATCGGCTGCCGCGTTTACACCCACAAAATACACAGTCACTCCACTTTGCAGCGCTTTGAGACGTCCCATCGAGGTGATAAGGCGGGGTATCAGGCACAAGGATTATTATGCTTATTAAGTCGTCGTCGTTTCCCATTCAGGGGCAGGAATGGCAGCTGATACCCACTCCACCGGAATGCCGCTCTGCCCTCGCCCTCCGGAATAACATCCCCCCCCACCCTCCCTCTCTAGCAGGAGCCTTGGGACGTTTCCTGCATCGACGTTTCGCCCTTCTCCCTCTCTCTATCCTCCACCACCGGCCTGGCCAGAGGTGATCTATGCCCATCGGAGGCCATGTGGAGCTGCATTCAAGGAGACTTTGGACCCAACGGAACATCATGTGATGACCTGTGCCACAGAGTTGGCCTGAGCCTATCTGCTGCCTCCGTCACCTACTTGATCGTGTGCCTGCCTCTGGGTTTGGCTGTCAACGCCTTGATCCTGGTGGTCAACTTGCGTCACAAGGCCTCCTTGGACATGCCCGATGTCTACTTCACCAACATGGCCCTGGCTGGCTTGCTGCTCAACCTGGTGGCTTTAGTCCAACTCCCGAGCCCTGACTATCTCCTGTGGCCGGCCTGGACCTTCGGCCGTGAGGTCTGCATGGCTTCCTTCATCCTCTTCAACATGGCTTCCTTAGTCAGTATCTATTCCTCCACCCTGCTCAGCCTGGACTGCTTCATCTGGCAAGCCGTGCCTCACACGCACCTGGCCAGCGCCTACAACACGCGACACGTGTGCAGCTTTGTGTGGGGTGGTTCGGCCCTCGCCAGCTTCTCCTCCCTCCTCTTCTACGTGTGCAGCAAGGTGTCCGACCGGGCCGACGACTGCTCCAAGCTCCAGACGCAGGAGCTGGGCGACGCCATCATGGTCTTCACAGGCTTCTTGGTGCCGGTGGCCGGGGTGGCTTACGCCTTGCGGTTGCTGCTCTGCTCGGGGAAGGAAAGCCAGCCGGCAGTCCAAAGCTCCTCCGCGGAAGCCGACTCCAACATCTCCTCCGCGCTTCACCGGCTGCTGCTGGCCACAGTCTCTGTGCAATTTGCCCTCTGGCTCCCCTACTATGTGGCGCTTCTGGTCAGCACCGCCCGGGTGGTCTCGGAGCCCGGGGAAGCCCACCGATCGGCCGGCCTGCTCCACTTCATCCGGGGCTGGGGGGAGCTGATCGCTTACCTCAGTAGCTGTGTGGTGCCCTTGCTCTACAGGCGCCTGCACAAGAGCTTTGAGGTCCGAGCGCGGAGGTTGGTGCACGAGCTGCGGTGCGCGGTCAGGACCTGCGGGCGCCACCGCCCGGCCCAACGGCAACATGTCTCGACTGTCTCCTGGGCGGAGACCGGACTGTCACCCAATGCCGTCGAAGTGAACGACAACTAGAGCGGCCTCTGAGCTCAACCCCAAGCCTGTGCTCTCGTCCACCGCACTGGGACTCCCCAGCCCACCGCTGTCCGTCGGTGGGGTAACTTAGAACCGAGACGATTGGCAAAAGGAACGAGATGGGAGACGAGGAGAAATCTCCCCCCCCCCCCCCACCCCAAAAAAAAAATATACCCAGAGAGTTGTTCCGGTCTGGAACCCACTGCCTGGAAGGGGGTGGAAGCGGATTCGATAACAATCCAAACAGGAGGGTAATTGGAGTTGAGGTACAGATCAGCCGTGATCTAATAAGAGTGGCGGAGCAGGCTCGAGGGGGCTGAATGGCCTCCTCCTGTTCCTACGTCCTGACAAAATACACGGTTGCTACAAGAAGAACGACAACTTGCATTTATATAGGGGGTGAGTCAGAACTCCTTAACTCGTAGGGTTTTTTTTCATGATTAACGATGTTTTGTTTTTGGAAGACAACATTGGTAGAGCAGAGCGTGCGGCCAATTCAGGAGATATCTTGTCCAACGCAAACATGCACACGCGCACAAGTTCAACTCAAACCGCAACACCCCTCCTCCCTCTCCTACCGCCCACCGCCACACAAAAAAGGCCAGATATAGTTTGTTGAAATGGAATGTGCTCTCTTTCTTTCTCTCCCCCCGGAGGGACGTATCCTGCTTACCCAAGTGGTAGGCGCAGGTTGGCAAGAGCCGAGGCTTTGGGTGGGGTGGGGGGAGCCCGGAGTGTGGGTCGGGAGGGCTAACTGCTGGGGTCTAACCAGCCAAAGAGGGGTCATTATAGAGGGATGAGACAGCGCAGGGAGCACGCAACAACTTGTGGCTTTCAGTTTGTGCACCTCACCCATCAATAAATTGATCTGTAACTTTTTCCAAACACATTTGGGTGTCCGAATGTTCATCTTGGGTCATCGGGCACCTCCAACTTGCCCCCTCCCCACATCGGGGTCGTTGAGCACGCACTCCAGTGCAGCGCGCGGGGGGTTGGGGGGGGGGGGAGAGGCGGGAGAGAGGTCCCGCCGTCCTTCAAATGAGACTTTGAAGCAGGTCTCCCGTCACCCAGTCCGTCTCAAGAACGTGAGGGGGCTGTCTGTGGCCATTCGGGGCCGACGTCAAACAATCCCCGGTGCCTACTCGAAAAGAGAAAGGGATTTTTTCCCTCTCCCGCTGTCCTGCCTGACATTCCCCCTCCCTCCCTCCCTCCCTCCCCGAGAAAAGTCACTCATTCACTTCACCGCTGTTTGTGGGGACATTGATGTCCACAAATTGGCTTCTGCATCCGCCCACAACTACAGTCACTGCCAGTAATGCCATGAAGTGCGTTGTCTCGCCGTTAAAAGCGCCGTGTCAAACACAAGTTATTTATCCCACACGTTGGTGGCGGTGTCTGGTCTAAAGCAACGGCTCTTTAAGAAAACTCTTGAGTGAAGCCCTGCAAGGTGGACAAGGGTCACACTTCTCGGTTTACCTGGTTGCCTTTCCAGAGGTCAGAGAAGCCAATACAGCTGTGATTTACGAGTGTATTTAGTACAAGAATGTCACAGCAAACCCAATGTTTGTTTGCCTGTCCAGACAATAATCCCACCATGACGTGGGAGCAAAAAGAGAAAGGAGTTTCTCCCTGGTGTCCTGGCCCGACAATTCTCCAGATAATAATCCTTGCACTTGATATAGAGCCTTATCACATCGTCAAGAGGGCTTCAAAGAATGTAAATTGACTGCGTATCTTGTGAGTGAATCGCAGGAGTGTCCCACAAACAGTCGTGGATCGAGTGACCGAAATATTTTTAATTGGAGGAATTCAACCATCAGCCACTCCGACTGCTTACTGTTAGGTAAACCGAGGGCTGTGTGTGTGTGTTTGTGTGGAGTAAGAAAACTTGCCTAAGGGTTCGTCCTGCCCGGGAATCGAATCGAATCCGATTGCGAGGCGAACACTCTAACCACTACGGCACAGGATTAGTGCGCTACGACCCACTAGGAATCCAAATAGGTTGTACTCCTCACAGCTGTATGTGTGTCTGTGTGTGTGTGTGTGTGTGTGGGAACGATTTTGCCGCGTACAAAAACAGCCACGTACGTCTCCAAAAAAAACACACAGGCGTTTGGACCAACGAGGTGCGTAAGAAACACAAGCGTGAACTGGAAAAGTAAAAGGTAATGAATTTGTGGCTCGAACCTTAGCAACGGGACAGCTATCGTGCCACACTCTCTCTCTCGTGTCGGCTGCGCTTACTCCTGATCTACTATCTCGCCCCGTACGAGGGCACGAGAGATTACCAAACAAACTTCACGCCAGTAAACAGCTGCCGGCGATGCTCAAGACTCGGGGGTTTCCTGTGGCTGCTGAGATAATTGGGAGAGATGAGTCGTTAGGAAATTTCACGCTGTTCTTCCTCAAAGAATGTAAACCTCCCCAAACTGTCAGTGCTTTGAAGTGGGGGTGGGGGTGGGTGGGGGGAGAGGTGGGAACATAATTTTTTTTCTCTCTCTCTCATTTCTGGTAAGGAAATGGATTCATTATGAGATAGGCTATCGTGCTGATGCTTCCAGCTGGGGAATAAACAGTTCACACGCTCTGCAGTCAATCGCTTCGGCTGGTCCTGGGGTGGGGGCAACAGAGGGAGGTGGTGATGGTGGTGGGGGGGGAGAAAGTACTTGCTTCCGACCCCCTGGTCAGTACAGTAGGCACAAGCAGGAACGCTACAAGTGAAATGGCTCCGGTCAATGGCATCCGTCCCTCCTGAGTCCAGTGGTGCAGCGGTTAGTCGAGAGGACCCGGGTTCGATTCCCTGACGGGGGCTAAACCCTTCGGGCGAGGTTTGAGGGACTGGGGCTTTGTTGGCCGCGGCCGTCGGTATCCGAATGAAGCAAGAAGACGGCTGCGATAAGCGAGTCACTGAACGGGAGCCCCCTCTGGTGCACTGCGCCCCCACCCCGCAAAACGCAGTGGTTGCCCTTCAAAGAGTATATCCTACGGGAGATGTTTCGACGCGATACGGCGCTGTGTCAAAACACGTAAGGGTTGTTATCGTGACTGCGACAGCGATAGATTGGCGGTGGCTCCCATCGGGCGCCCCGTTCCGTCCCAACACATTCCCGAGCGGACTGGGAGGGTGGCCGGGGCGGTGGTGGGGGGGGGTCTGTTTCAGAGCCGGTCCGGCACAGGCACACGGAAACGAACGCAAAACTCGCGCACAAGAAAAAAAAAACCCCTTCGGCGCCAGAACCCCAACACGAACCACAATATAATCCGCTGCTTTTCCCAGAGGCTTTATTTCGGTTTAAATTAAAAAAAAATGATCAGTAAAACCCGGCGATACACAGCACGACGTGAGAGTTGCGACTGTTTTACTGAAGATACTCTATTTTAAACACGAGTCCTTTTTTTTTCTTTCCGTTTCCCCCTAAACGTCTTCACCACCAGTCCACATGAAAAGCCCAGCAAATTCCCTCCTGTTTTAAGTTAACTGCGTGTCTCAAAGCAAAAGTACGACTGAGCAAAGAGGGTGGTCAACGGGGTAACCAGTGACCTAATGCGACGGTCGTGCTGTCTTCACCCCCCCCCCCCACCCACCCACACCGCCATTACCCTCCCCGTCTGCCCGTCTCGAATCCGACCCCGGCGGGGGGGAAACTGAGCCCGAAGCGCCCGTTCCCGCATAGCGGTCTTCACGGGAACAGGGGGCTTCAGGCAGTCGTCCTGCCTCGTCTTCGGCGGGCGGACACACAACCCGGGGGGGGGGGGGGGGGGGGGGGCGGAGACCCCGAGGCTGAGAACGTTTGCCCGGTTGCAGCTGAAACGGGGAGAAATCTCGAGACACTGTTTGGGCGGGGGCGGTCTTCACACGGCGAGAGTGGGGAGCCCGACACCAAAAGCGATCTCCCCGCCGCGCCGGTCGTTCGCATCGAGACTCAAAAACAAGCGCGGTATACAAAGCAGCTTCCGCATGCACTAAGGAGGGGCTGTTGGGAGACCACGTCACCACGAGGCAGACGGGCAGACAAGAATGGCACTGAGCTCAGGAAGGAGAGGGCGGGGAAGGAAAGAGAGGTTTTGGCATGTCAGAATGGCTGATGGCTGGAGGACGCAGCAAAGGATGACCCCCAGTTGGTACACCGCTCCCTATATAAAAGCCCGAGCGCACCTGTACTGTACTTGATCGGAAGCGCTTGCGCTCAGCAACATTTTGGGGGGCAGATAGACGGACGGTCGGCAAACATCGCACGACCCACGGCTGCCTCGAAGGCAGGGAAACCCACCACGCCCGAACCGAACCGAACCAAACCTGGGGCCGATTCGTGTTTGGGCAACTCGGAGCCCGTCACACACGCTGGGGCTTAAATGAGGAGCGTAAACTCAGGGAAAATAATAAAGGTAACACACAAGATAGATCGTCTCTCTCTCTCTCTCTCACACACACACACACAGGCAGAAGCACCAAGAACACACGAACATTAAACAAGATCACCGCTCAACTGGGTTAATAAGTCTGTCGTGCCCCGGTCCGCTCGTGAAGTGCGCAAGTTCGGAAAGGATCTTAGCGGGAAGTCTGACAACACAAGGGGTTGGAAGTCGGGATGGGAAGTGGAGTGAAAATTCAGGATGTGTGTGGGGGGGGGGGGAGAGAGAGAGATGGGGGAGCGAAAATACAACTGTGGTAACTGCAATTGCAAAGTACATTTCCCACAAGTATTTTTTCCTTCGGGAAGAAGCTGATTTATGACGACTCGAGATTTAAGGTGGAATTCAAGTCAACAGTCTCTGAATGTGGAGCATTTCCTATTTATAGTTCGGTCGCACTTTTTTTTAAAACAAAAAAGCACAGCATCAAAAGAACAGGAGTCATAAACGTACTTGGCGTTTCAACATTGCCAGATTAAGTGACGGGGCGGGGGGTGGTGGTGGGGAGGGGGCGCGGGGGAAAGAGAGTTTAAATGGGGGGGGGGGGGAATGGAGGAGGAGAAGGAAAGGGAGTGGAAGAGAGGACCGTAAAACAATTACAAGTGGATAACTGAGGCTGCCACAATTTCACCAAAACGCCCCCACCACCACCCTCCCAAACATCATCATACGCCCACAGGTACACAGACGCACGCACACACACACCCTGACGTTAAGCCGTCAGCGCCAGGCTCCTGGCCCGCACGCAAACTCACCCAAGCGATAAAGTGTGGTCGTCGCTGCCATTCGTTGGTTACACATACTTTGTAAAAACCGACATAAAAGAAAAGCCGGCCAAGTCCTCGCCAGGCCGACAGGGTACACCCAGAGCTCAGCACGCGGGAGCGGGAGAAAGACAACAGCGCTCGGTAGACAAGTCTCGTTAAACCTTTCGAACCCGCAAGCTGCTGTTAAAACCCACACCCCCCCCCCCCCACCGCCCCCGACAAAAGTAAGCAACACTCTCTTTTAAAAACTATCCCAAAATCTTCCGTCTTCACTCACAAGAAGGCTGTGGGAGTGCTTCTAAAAGCCCCCGGCGGAATTACAGAAAAACACCATTGGTGAAGGGTATCAGACGAGTATATTTGCACAAGTCAAACAACGTGGGGCCCGACCCCTCTGGCTGTGATGGCACTGGGCGCGAGTGTGACAAGTGTGGCAGGTTGTGCGTGCGGCGAACACGAGGGGAGGAGGGTGGTTTCTGCGGGGGCGAGTGGTCTGGCTGTCCTCGTCTCCTTCTGTGGTGCAAGATGAAACGGCAGCGAGGAACGTTTTGCTAGGACTTTGACTCTTTCGCTGTGTGGGCCCCGGGGCAATGGAGGACAGAAAGGAAGGAAAAAAAGAGTCAATTCATTGAGCGCCAGAGCTTCAGTCCGTGAAGTTTTTTTTTCTTCTAAAAAAAAATATGTATAAACTTTCATTTCTATTCCGCTCGTCGCTGAATACTCAAAGGTGGCTCGGAAGAACGCGGTGTCGGACATCCACGCCAATCACACACACGCAGAGAGTTTGGGGAGGGGGGACAACAACAACAAATTACGTTTACAAAGTGCCTTTCGCGTAATTTCATCCAGGCCCTCAGCAGGACCACCCATGCCCTAGACAAACCTGGGGCGACGACGGGGGGGGGAACGCCACCCGGGAGGGCCGGTCCTCACTAACCGCAGGCACCTCCAGGGCGCCGGGCAAAACCACTGACCTTTCTTCTCATTCTCCCGCTTCTTGGCTGCGTCCTCGCGCTGTTTGCGGATGATGGCCAGCCGGGCCAGGTCCGCGCGGGCCTGGTCGGTCTTGCCCTCGAGGTGGAGTTTCATGTACCTCTCCCGCGCCTGCTGTTTCTCGATCTCTTCCCTGGGGGGGATTGGGGCGGGAGAGGAGGCAGAGAGAGAGAGAGAGAGTGGGGGGTGGAGGAGAGAAAGAGAGAGAGAGAAATAAAAAGGACAAAAATGAACAAAAAAGGATAAATAAACTACATTTAACTACTCTTCCTGTTACCACTGAACTTCCGGTCGTCTCACGTCAACTCATAAATGTTGGTCCCACCTGCCTTGTGATTCCAGGGGCAGCCCGCTCCCAACCCCCCCCACTCCCCACCCTCAATCAGTCATCCACGTTTCAGTTGTTGGTACCTTTCCCGCCTGGAGAGCTCCCGCTGAGGAGAATTCAGGTCCAGGTTATTGACTTTCTTGTTTTTCTGCGTTACTCGGTTGGGGTTCTCGATCTCGATCAGGCCTTCAACTCCCTTCTTCTTATGCTGCAAGCGCAAGGAGCGGCAAAGAAATCAGGAGTTGGGACTCGAAACAATATAGTTTGACAAATACAGCAATGCAATACAATTGTGCAGACACAATATCGGAAAGGATGTCAAAGACAGTTCAGAGTTTGCGTACCGGTGTACGCCTGTGCCGCTGTCTGCCATGCATGTCATGTCGGAGGAGGAGGAGGTAGGAGGGTGACCCAAGGCACGGTCGAGGAGGAGGGTCTGTGCGATGGGAGTTTGAAACAGCGGGGGCAGAGAGGCGGATGGTGGGATGTGGAGTACGCGAGAGTCTCCGGAGTGCAGGGAGCGGACAGGTTGGTATGGAACGTATCCCGAGCAGTATTAATACGGATAGGGTCACAAGCTTAATGAGAAGAGTAATAATAATCCTTGCATTTATCACGTCTTCGAGACGTCTCAAAGCGCTTCACAGAATATACTGTAAAGTGTAGTGACTGTATATTTTGTGGCGAAACCCGGCAGCGTCCCCACAAACAGTCGTGGATTGAACGACCATATTATTATCATTTTTTTTGGGGGGGGGGGACGGGACGGGACGGGGGACTCACCTCTGAATCGTCTTCGCTACTCTCAGCATCAGAATCACTGTCGCTCGCTCGCTCTGCTCCCTCCTTGTCCTGAGCAGAAACAAACGGAAGTCAGCTGAGTGAGGGTTTTAACAAGAATTTCTTCTCTCTCCCAAAGCTCGCAGGAGCCCTTTCATTTGTTCTCTTCTTTCCTCCCCGCCTCCACCACCATCAAGCTGCCTCAAATACTTTACCTTTTCCTTCTCTACTTTCATCTGTGCCTCGATCTCCTCGGGGTTTGTGAACTGCTTCGCTCGCCCCTTGTGCCCTCGCTTACCTGCAAGACGCAAAGCAATGGAGGAGGCCGACAAAATTTCACATCGATAAAACAGTGCGTTTCACATCAGTAGAAACAAATCGTCAAAGCACAAATTCTTGAGTGAAGCCCAGAAGGGACAACAATTTTGGCACACAGGCCCTGTAACTTCAAAACCACTCATTTGCAAAAGGTGTGCCAATTATCACAAGACGCTTTGACCTATACACTGGGACTGTTGAATAAATAAATAATACCGATCCTTGCATTTGATGTAGAGCCTTATCACGTCTTTGAGTGTTTCACAGGATATACTGTAACGCGAAACGACTGTGTGAGTTTGGGCGTTTACCATTTTTAATTTTTTTAAAAATATATATTTATGTGAACGGATTAATACTGCTCGACTTCAGATGATGCAATCGACAGATTTTACCGGGGGGGCCAAGCTTTTAGCTTAAATTCAATTCTCTGACGCGACTGCTTGCTTTAATGAGAAGTTTTTAATTAAAAAAGCCAAGCCTGCCAAATCATGACCCAATTGGGGGTTTGCAGTGACTAGACAGGCGGTGCCCAAACAACCCAAAATGTCTGCCTGACTTCACCAGATGGCTACTTGCACAATCACAGCTGAGGACGGGGTATAGAGCTGCAAAGCTCAACTATTCCCCAGCCGTACGAGTCACAACAAATCTGGAGACTCAGCTGGCAATGTTCTTTGAAACAAATCCGCCTCGGAAGCCACCGGCTTGCACTGTTGTAGAGTGTATTCCCCGACTCGCTTGGGCTAAAGGCTTTGGGATCGAGCTTTCGCTGTAAGCGGGGGCTGCCGTACGAGAGCAATAGTGGACCTTCGCTGCGCCGTTGAAACACAAGATGGTCACATTCCGCAGAGGGTTAAACCCATCAGAAGTAGGAACAGAAGTAGAACTCCTGCAATAAGACTTACAAACTCTGCTTGCTTCTCTGTTTCTGAAGTGCAATAAATCCCTTCAATAAATGAATGAATTAATAAAACTAATAATAATTTGGTGACTCAAATCCCTGACTATTTTGTGGGACACCACTGTGCGCAATCGGCTGCTGTGTTTCGCCCACAAAACGTACAATCAATTCACTTCACAGTATATTGCGCGAAGCGCTTTGAGACGTCGCGAAGACGCGATGAGGCGCTGTATCAAATGCGAGGGTTATTATTATTATGATGATGATGTGCAGCCCAGGGTTTCCGAGGAGGGTTGAAGGAAGGCTTGTGCTTGTTTTGCGTGAGAGACAACACTGCTCGCAGTAGCATTCACTGGGGCTGTCAGACGTTAACAGGACGGGGTGCCTCGGCGTCCGACTGTTCAAACGCAACTGGGTAATGCTCTCCATAAGTCGTAACTTCCGGATTAAACGCCGCGTGAGTTCCAGAAGTCAGCGAAACTGACCGGAGATGTGCCAACAGCAGAACACTGACAATCAATCGATCGATCAATCGATCGATCGCGTGGGTCACGGGGAAAAGGCCTGCGATTTCGAGTGGAGAGAACCGAGGTGGGAATTTTGGGGAAGGGGGGAATATTTGCTGGGATAAAAGGCCGCGGCGGGGGAGGTGGGGGGGGGGCGAGAGAATTTGCAAGAGAAAAGGCGGAGGGGGGGGGGGGGGAGAAACTTTGGGGGGGGAGGCGAGGGAGGGAATTTGAGGGGGGAGAGAATTTGAGCGGGGAGACGGGGGAGGGAATTTGAGCGGGGAGACGGGGGAGGGAATTTGAGGGGGTAGGCGAGGGGGGAGGATTTGAGGGGGGGAGGATTTGAGGGGGGAAAAAAAAGGAGAGGGAGGGTGAAATTTTGGGGGGAAAGTGAGGGAGGTCAATTTGGGGGGAGAAAAAGCCGAGGGGGGGGGGGGCAAGAGGCGAGATGAGGGAGCAGGGAAGTTGGGGGGGGAGGGGGGAGGGGGAGAGAGGGGGAAAATGCGAGGAAGGGGGGAATTGGGGAGAATAGAAGGGGGGAAATTTGGTGGTGGTGGTGGGTGGGGGGGAAAAGAGAAGAGGGGGGGATTTCGGGGGTCTGGGGGGAGGGGGGAAGAATTGGGAGGGGAGGAGGTGAGAGAATGGGGAGGAGCCAAGTTGGGGGGGAAGGGGAGGGGGCAATAATGGGGGAGAATGTGATGCGATGGGGGGGGGGGGGGGAGAGAATGGGGGGGGAATGAGCTGAGCAACGCCATTGGCTCTGCCCGGGCGTCAATCACCCGCGCACGTGTCCTCGCGCGCCATTGGCCGCCCGGTCCCGTCAATCACCCCCGAGCGACGGCTTCATTGGCGGGTGGGGCGCGGGGGGGGGGGCGGGACGAGGCCTAGCCGCGCGGAGCCGCCTCAGGCCTCCCTCGAGCCGCGGCTGGGTTTGCCGATGAAGCCCCCCCCTTCCGTCCCGACGGTGACGGGAGGCGATGCGACCGACCGCCGGTAACTCACCCCCTCGCGGCATCGCGTCTCGACTCCGGCTCCGGTTACCAATCCAAGCGGCCCTGGTGACTCCTCGCGCGCCCGCCCGCCGCCCGGCTTCAAGTCCAACCGCCGCTTCTCTCACAATGCGCCACCGATGTCACTGTCACTTCCCCGCCTCCACCCCGGCCTGGGCGGGACCCTCCCCCCTCCTGGGGGGACCGATTGACCAATCGCCACGCGCTCCGGTTTGACGGACGGCCCTCCCGACCAATCCCAGCGCACGGCCCCGCGCGATGACGGCATTTGATGGACAGCTCCCCCGCCCCGCCCCCCGCCCCCGCCCCGTCCGCCCTCTCCGACCCACCCACAGGGAAGTGTTGGATTGACGGGTCGCGGAGCCAATGGGCGTTGGGAGCCGCTGGTCAGTCAGTGGTCGAGCCGACCAATGGGGGCGTAGGGGGCGGGATGCGGTGTGACGTCGGAACATGGCGTGATTGACGCGGCGGCAAGCCAATGGCCTGGGAGGCTGTGGGAACAGGGCGCGCTGATTGGTTCAACTGTAAAGAGGCGGGGACTTCTGGATTGACAAGCCACCAGCCCTTACAGTGAAGCTGAGGCCCCACGTGGTGTCCTGATGGCTCATTTGATAACTGATCAATAACTAATCGATAATTAGTAATTATCGGTGCCAATCATCATCAGCATTTGACCCGGCGCCGGATCGCGTCTGCGAGACGTCTCGAAGCGCCTCACGGGATAGATGCGCTGTGAAGTGTAGTGACTGTGCGCGTGGGGGGGGTGTGTCGTGGGCGAAACCCGGCACCCAATTGCGCCCCCCGACCCCCCCCACACAAACCTCCGTGTGACGAGCGACCAAATTATTATTATTATTATTTAACGGGTGGGGGTGGGGGGAGAGACGGGGAGGTTGGGAATCAGGAATAACCGGGGGTTTTCCAGGGGTAATGATCCAGGAGGGGGGTGGGTGGTGGGGGTGGTGGGGGACACAAAAAAAACGTGGTCGCTCGATCCACGGCTGTGTGTGGGGGACACAAATTATACCGTCAATATTCATTCTGCAGTGTATCCTGTGAAGCGCCTCGAAGCGCCTCGAACGACGTGATGAGGCGCTGTGTCAATCGCAAGGATTATTATTATTAGATTCTTCGATGCCTCTTCATGCGAAAAAAGCTTCCACCCTCCCTCCCTCCACCCCCCCACACGCACATACACACACACCCCGCACCCGCCCCCCCACAAAACAGCCATGTTACGCCATGTTAGCCACGATATAAAAACAGTATTCTTTTTCGGTTAGAAGAACAAGGATTAGATTTTTATTGGTCGAACAAACTTTTAAAGTTACGCGCGCGTCTTCGAGTTCTCGTTCATCTCCTGATTGTCCTCGAGAAACACGAGGGGTGTGTTAATGTGAGCCCCGGGCGCTCTCTCACGCCCGGCTCGGGGTCGTGCTCCGCCAATGTCAAGCGCTCTGGGACGCGGCCCTGCATGAGGGGCGTGCTATAAATGCGAGCTGTTGCCGTTGTGTAAAGAAACACTTCCTGTGTGCGTGGTGTGTGTGTATTGTCCTGAACTTTTCCTCCACTTTGTATCTCAAAAGAAAGTCTCGGTCTTCCAGCCCGGATCATGCCGGTCGGGAATTTGGGGAAAAGTTTGGTGAAGAAGCCAGCGATGACCAAAGCGTCGGTCTGCCTGTCTCCTGCACCGGCCCGGCCACTGGTGGGTGTTGGGTTAGGAGGGGGACATCTTTTGCCGCGTTAGTCATTGCTTTCCTCTGTTGATGTGAACTCTTCCTCGTGTTCTGTAGAGGGCACAAGAGGTTAATTCGCTTCAGCAGCTCAGATGAAAGACCGCCCTTTGGCTTTGGACTATGTGGTTCGAACCACCTCATCTCATCCCTCCAGAACATTCCTGAACACCCACCCGACAAACGCGCCCCCCCTCCCCCCAACTATCAAGGCGTCCCAGCCTCGACCGCCCTTCTAGATATTGGTAATGACCTGTAGTGTCGTGGTTAGAAGGCTCACCTCGCATGTGAGAGGACCTGGGTTTGATTCCCGGGCAGGGCAGGACCTCAGGGCAAGTTTCCTTTCTCCAAACACATGCCTAACCCTAACCCTAAGTGGCAACCTGGTAGTTGCTCGATTGGTGGATCGCTTTCCGGGGGATTAATAATCACTCAATCCACGAGTTTGGGGCAACGCTGCTGTGCGCAATTGGCTAGCGCAAAATATACAGTCAATTCACTTTACAGCGTATCCTGTGAGGCGCTTTGAGACGTCTCAACGACGTGATAAGGCGCTGCATCAAATACAAGGATTATTATTGTTATTATTGTAGGCGTGTGAAGCAGATGCCCAGAGTGTTGAACAAGCTAAAACTCTATAGCTTGCCCATTCAGAGTGCTGCTTGTTCCACTAGGACCCCTGTTAAAGCCTCATGTTACCTACCACAGAGAACGGTGGTTCCAACGGGATTGTTGCTCTTGCTGGCTGACAACAACCGGCTCCGAGGCCTGGGTTCCGGCCTCTTGTTCCAGTCGACTTTGAAGCTTTGAGGAGGCGTTGCGGCCAGGCTGACCCCATCGTCGGGCCCCGAAGTCCTTCTGTTCGGGAGCCCGGCTTCTCCTCCTCTCACCTGCTCGCCCATGCTGCCCGTGCGTTGGTACGAGGTGGGGGGCCGGGGCGGGGGCATCGACGGCACTCGGAGAGGCATAGAGGAGCCCCTGAGGTTCCGTGTCATAGGCCTGGGCTCCTCGAGACCAGAGTAGAGGCTGGCTCTGGGATTGAGAGGAGGCGGGAACGTTGGCCGTGCGGGAGTTGGTCTCCGACCTGGAACAGAAAGAGGTGTCAGCCCGGCTCTGACCCTCGGCATCAAGCCTCCCTCACTATCTGTATTGGTGACGTCTGTCCTGTAGTGTAGTGGTTAGAGCACTCACCTCGCAAGCAACAGTAAGTAGGTGGGTGTTAGTTGTTGTTGTTAGTCGATTGGCAGATCGCTTTCTGGGGCTAATAATCCCCAGAATCACAAAACACACAGTCAATAATTATAGCATATTCCGTGAAGCGCTTTGAGACATCCCATTGACATGATAAGGCGCTACATCAAATGCAAAGATTATTACTGTTATTATTAATTGAAGTGATTTCCGTCAGTACCTTTCTTGACTGAGTGGCTGGTTACGATGATGGGAGCCTGGACGACAGAGGCTGGGGCTTGACTGGAGCTTCTCTGTAGAGGCTGATGTTGTGGCTGACCGACCTCCCTGGACGGGGCTGGTGATGAGGCAGGAGCCACTGGGAGGGTCTCACTCTGAGCCCTGGAGAGAAACAGAGAGGAGATGAGGTGGACGTCAAGAGGGAAGCAGACGTGAGTGGGCGGGGAATCAGTGGAGGGGACAGGAACGGAGAGGGCAAGAGAGCAGAGAGGGGAGAAGAGGGGGAGGAGATGGTAGGATGGGGAGTGCGGGGGGGGAATGGAGGGGAGGGATGGATGGGGAGAAGCTGGGAGAAAGGGAGTTGGAGGAGCGGAGTGGGGGAGAGGCGGTTAGGGATACGAGGGGAGGAGAGGGAGTGCATAGGAGAGGGGTGTAGGGGATCGGAGAGGGGAGAAGAAGGGGGAAGATGGGGAGAGGAGAGGGGAGAACCTCCCTCCCTCTTTCCCCCCCCCCCCCCACCTCCACTCTTCTCTCCAGAAAGAAATCCCTTTAAAATCAAAGAGAAAGTCTTGAAAGAGTTGGGAGCAAGTGGTTTACTGGGTGGAGGTTTCCTTCTTCGGGCCTGGGGGGGTGGTGTTGGCGATGGTTGGGGGGACTTGTGTTGGCTCGGGAGAGGCCTTTTCCTCCTGCTCCAGGGCGGGGCTGCACTCCGAGGGTCCCGGCCCCCCAGGTACGAAAGCTCCCGAGACATTGAAATCCAGGTCTGTGGAGAGGACCACAACAACAACAACTTACAACACGGCTTGACATTTATTATTAATAATAATAATAATCCTTACGATTGACACAGCGCCTTATCACGTCGTTGAGACGTCTCAAAGCGCTTCACAGGATACACGGTAAAGTGTAGTGACTGTGTATCTTGTGGGCGAAACTGCGCACAGTGGGGTACCACAGACAGCCGTTAAATGAGTGATCTATTTTATCGGAGCGGGTGGGGGGGGAAAGGGGGGGTTGAGAGACACACAGAGAGAGAGAGAGATTCTTTTCGAACACCGCAAAATCTTTCCCGAATTGAAAACAGCGCCTTCATGTCCCGAGGATGTCCCGAGGCGAACGAGAGAGAGAGAGAGAGAGAGAGAGAGAGATGAGGGGGGAAGGGGAACGATGACGGAAATCGCGCTGTCGAGCCGGGGAACAGAGACGGCGAGGAATCTGAAGGTGAGACGTACAGAGACGCACCTCCTGGGAAGATCTTGTTAGCGTTCAGGATGATGGGTTCCATCACCGACACCACTTGGACGGAGGAAGCTGATGCCATATCAGCCAGTGAGACAATCCTACAGCACGTAACACACAGCGTCCTGGTCAGTACAGTATTTCCCACCCAACTCTCTCTCGCTCTCCCCCCACTCCACTCTCTGCTTCTGCTGATCTCCATCCCCGCCTCCGATCTCACTCCTCTCTTTCTCTCTCACACGAGGGCTCAACTCTCTCGCTCTCCTACCTTGTCTCTTGTCCTTCTCGCTCTCTCTCACACGCACTCTCTCCTCTCTCTTCTCTCCCTCTCAACACACCCCTCCCATCTCTCTCTGCCTCTCTCACACCCCCTTCCCTTCTCTCCCACATACACGCACTCCTTCTCCCTCTCTCTCTCTCTCTCACATTCCCCCCTTACTCCTCTCCCCCTCCCTCACACTCCCCCTCTCTCTCTCTTAGACAGCGAGTCGCTGTGAGTTTCAAAGAGTGGGGGCACTGAGGTCAAAGGATCCGACATGGTGGCCAAGTAGGCGGGTGATCTCTCACCCTCAGCCCGACGTTTGACCTACTCTGACATTTGACCCACCCTTCATTCTGGGGCCAGAGCAGGTTGGGGCCGAGGACGATGGCAATGTTACTGGGGCTCATCTTGTTCACGTCCTGATCCTCTGCCAGCCTCGCCAGGAACTTAATCAGGTACCTGTTTGCCAACAACAACAACAACAGCTTGCCTTTACACAGCGCCTTTCACGCGGGACAGGGTCTCGGAGCGCTTGACAGACACGGGGTCAGGCGCTGAGTGAGGGAGAAGTGGGGAGGTGATCGTAGGAGCTTTTTGGGAGGGATATAACGATAAGAATTAATGATAATCCTCGCATTTGATACAAGGTCTTATCACGTCCTCGAGACCTCTCGAAGCGCTTCGCAGAATATACTGTAAAGTGTAGTCACTGTGTATTTCGTGGGCGAAACGCAGCAGCCAACTGCGCACAGCAGTGTCCCCCCGAACAGTCGTGGATTGAATGACCAATGGAAGACAGCAAGTTCTGGTGTGGGGGAGTGGGGGGGCAGTGGGGGAAAGGGAGTGTCCGACACTCGCTCGGGTGTAACCCATTACCGCAGGTTTGAGTAATTCCCTCGGGCAGTTTGCTGCACACATCTCGAAGTCTCTCCACCTTAGTCTCCTGGTCTTTCTCACTGCACAGGGAAGAGAACAGAAGAGGAGCTGCAAGGCTCCCATTGGGAAAAGAAAATGCAACAGTACAATATAGATTTAGATTTATACAGCGCCTATTACCTTGAGGGTATGTCCCAAGGCGCTTCACAGGACATACTGTGATCTGTTGGCACTGTCTTTGTAGGTAAACACAATTTGAAAGAAAGTGAGAGCAAAACAGAGACTCAGAGAGCGAGAGAGAGCGCGAGCGTGTGAGAGAAGTGAGAGCAATCAGGAGGCGCGTGTGTGTGTGTGTGTGTGTGTGTGTGTGTGCGACACAGAGTGTGAGAGATACTGAGTGGGTGACACAAAACAAAAGCAATATGGAGACAGCTTGTGTTTTTGGTGAGGCAGAGCAAAAAGAGTTTGTGAGAGAAAGTGAGAGACGGAGAGAGTGTGCGCGTGTGTGTGCGTGCGTTCGTGCGTGTGCGTGAGAGACCGAGAAAAAGAGAGAGAGCATGAGGAGAGTGCAAGAGAGGAAGTGAGAGCTAGTGGGAGAGCGAGAGAGCGTGTGAGAGGGAGAGAGAGAGAATGAGAAAGTGCCAGAGAGAGAGAGAGAGAGAGGGAGCTCCATTTCCTACCTTGCAGCTTCAAACCATTCGTCGTAGAGATTGAATGTCATGAGGGGATGGGGTAACTCTCTGAGGTAGGACTTCAGGGCACCTGATTGCAGAGAGAAACCTGCTGTTAGCTCCTGCTTTTGCCTTCCTCTCAACCACAACAACAAATGACATTTACACGGCACCTTTCACAGCAGGAGGACAGCCCAAGGCGCTTGGACAGTCAGGGATCCGCACCCGAGCTGGCGGTTGGGATCAGGAGGGGCGGAGGGCGGAGGGCGGGGAGGGTAGGGGTAGGAGGGCGACCGAAGAGAAGGGTATTGAAGAAAGAATCATGTGGCTTTTGTAGCAAATAGGTGGCCTTCAGCCTCTGAGTCCCCACCTTCTAGAACTCCATCCCATAGTCCCTCCGCCTCCCTCCCTCCCTCCCTCGCCTCAAGACCTTACTCTTTGACCATGCCTTCGGTCACCCTCCTACCCCTACCCTCCCTGTCTCTGCTGTTGGTGAGGCGATAGATCTTACCGGCCACAGCGTGGGGGTCATATTTGAACTCTTCCGGGTTGAAAGCACCACTGTCCAACGACGATTTTAATTGTTTCAGCACAGAAGCTGCAGGAGCAAGTCTGAATAGACCCTGTAATAGGTGGAAAAAACAAGTTAAATAGATAAATAGTCATAATAATAATATTTCCATTTGGTACAGCGCCTTATCACATCTTCGGGGCTTCTCAAAGCGCTTCACAGATGATACTGTTGAGTGAATTGACCTGTGTATTTTGTGGGCGAAACGTGGCAGCCAATTGCGCACAGCAGCGTCCCCACAAACAGTCGTGGATTGAGTCACCATATTAATATTAATATTTTTTAAGGGATTATTACTCCCGGAAAAGCGATCCGCCAATCGACTAACAACCGACCTCACCTCTTCCTTCATTCCTTTCTCCAGCAGCATCATCACACAGGCCTCGATGGGGAGAGCAATCTGACGCTGACAGCTCTCCAGATGTTCCTGCAGAGGTTTGCCAAAGGCAGCCTGCCTTCCGTTGCGCTCTTCACACCAATCAAAGGCATTAAATAATAATATTAATAAGATAAATTCTTACGTTTGAAGTGTAGTGACTGTGTATTTTGTGGGCGACGAGGAAGCTCACGAGGCAGGCCTTGAAGGAGGCAGGGGAGGGATGGGGGAGAGGCGGAGGTACTGGGGATGGTGTTTTAAAGGGCGGGGGTTGATGCAGGGGAGAAGGGAACAGAACGAGCAGAGACTCGTGTGAAGTGTGGAAACATCAGCACGGACTCAGATGGGCCAAATGGCTCATTTCCAAGCCAGACAGTCTGTAACTCTACGTGATGCTGAATCGCAGGGTGTAGGCGCTCGCTGGGAGACTCGCCTGCTGCATTGGGGGCAGATTTCAACCCGGGCATCAAGGTGTCGAGCACTTTCAGCGACTTCCTGTGATAGTCAGCCTGTGCCTCTAGCAGCTGAAAGAGAAATAAAACAGAGAGAGACACTTATGTTACACAGCGGTACCAACGAGAGGCTGTGACCACAAACCTAGATTCTGAAAATACAACAATAACAACAACTTGTATTTATATATAGGGTCTCTCGCACCGGCCCAGAGCACTCGAAAAATTTGTCATCCTTGCATTCGAGGTAGTGACTTACTTATCATGTTGTCGAGACGTCTCAAAGCGCTTCATGGGATATACTGTAAAGTGGATTGTCTGTGTATGTTGTGGGTGAAACGCAGCACCAATTTGGTACAGCAGAGCCCTTCAAACAGTCGTGGATTGAGTGGCCTCGATGGGGAGAGCAATCTGACGACCAAAATTATTACACTCCCCCACCCCACACCCCCCACCCCCTCCGGAAAGCGATTCGCTAATCGACTAACGCCCGTGTTCCTGCTCGGTAAACAGAGGCGCGTGGAGTAGGGAAACTCGACTAAGTAAATGGCGTACAACCGCACAAAAGTCTTGACTATGTTTGAAAGTCGGTTCCTTTTCATTAAAATAGATCTCTGCGGCGGCCGAGCGCTCACTGGGTTGGAGGAAAGCACAGTGAGTGCACTGACAAAGCTGTCTCTGTCCGGCTCTCACTGTGTGTCTATATCCAGAGCATAAACCACAGGGCAGGTTCAGTCCACTGAACCCTGTGAATGGATGAGGAGAGCAGTGTCAGAAACCCGTCGGACCAAATATAAAATACTTCCCTCTCACACACACACCACCACCATCACCACCACCACCACCCCACCCACCCACCGGCCCACCGACACACACAGCACAACCACCACCAGAACGGCATCCTGTGGCGGGATGGGGTGGGGGGTGGTGTGGGGGGTGGGGGGGGAGGGGGGGGGAGAGAAGGAAAGGAAAGGTGGGAGATTGGTCACACAGACACAGACACACACACGAATGAACAACAGCAAACTGGATTCTTTCACGTAAAGGGCGGGCGGGCGGACAGACGGACGCACAGTCGGAAGGTCGGATGGATGGATGGATGGATGGGTGGGTGGGTGGGTGGGTGGGTGGGTGGGGAATTGGGAGTCCTGTGGCTGTGGCGGTCAGAGCGCTCACCTCGCAAAGGAGAGGACCCGGTGGGGCCGGACAAAACCTCGGGCAAGTTTCTCACTCCGCCTTTCAAGCGGGGCAGTGTCTCGGAGCGCTTAACGGTGGCCGGAGCCTGACGCCGAGCCGATGGGAGAGGGAGAGAGAGGGGGGGGGGAGAGGGAGGGGGTAGAGAGAGAGAGAGAGAGAGAGAGAGAAAGAGAGAGCGCATTCCAACAATCTATCTCCGGGATTTCCGCGCGTCTCAGTGGGAGGCAGGGAATTCCCAGTCCGCTTCGGAGACTCTTAAGCCACGGTGACGGGTTTCCGCACCTGTCAGACGCCCGGCCGGACCCCCCCCCCACCCCCCCAAAAAAATTGCTGTCGCTCACCGATAGGAAATAGTTGGCATATTCTTCCTCCTTACTGGCGAAGTGATAGAGGTCAGCGGCGTATTCATCCTGAAAAGGCAACGCCGTTCACTAGTGGTTCATCTGAATGATGGCGTCTCTGACACCCCAGTCCTCCCCCCGCTCCCCCCCACCCCAGCCCTCCCCCGCTCCCCCCACACCCCAGCCCTCCCCCCGCTCCCCCCACCCCAGGCCTCCCCCGCTTCCCCCCACCCCAGCCCTCCCCCCGCTCCCCCCCACCCCAGCCCTCCCCCGCGCTCCCCCCCCACCCCAGCCCTCCCCCGCTCCCCCCCACCCCAGCCCTCCCCCCGCTCCCCCCACCCCAGCCCTCCCCCGCGCTCCCCCCCACCCAGCCCTCCCCCCGCTCCCCCCCCACCCCAGCCCTCCCCCCGCTCCCCCCCACCTAGCCCTCCCCCCTCTCCCCCCACACCCCAGCCCTCCCCCCGCTCCCCCACACCCTAGCCTCCCCCCGCTCCCCCCCCACCCCAGCCCTCCCCCCACCCCAGCCCTCCCCCCGCTCCCCCCCACCCCAGCCCTCCCCCGCTCCCCCCCCCCACCCCAGCCCTCCCCCCGCTCCCCCACCCCACCCCAGCCCTCCCCCGCTCCCCCACACCCTAGCCCTCCCCCCTCTCCCCCCACACCCCAGCCCTCCCCCCGCTACCCCACACACCCCATCCCTCCCCGCGCTCCCCCCACACCCCAGCCCTCCCCGCGCTCCCTGCTCTCCCCCCACCCCACCCCCAGCCCTCCATGCTCTCCAGCCACCCCCACCCCCCAGCCCTCCCCGCTCTCCCCCACCTCCCAGCCCTCCCCGCTCTCCACCCTCCCCAACCCCCAGCACCACCGGCGCTCCCGCCCTCCCCAACAGCAACAACAACAGTAGCAGCAACAACAACAGCAGAAACAGCAGCAACAACAACAGCAACAACAGCAACAACAACAGCAACAACAACAACAGCAACAGCCGCAGCAGCAACAACAACAACAGTAACAAGTTGCATTGATGTAGGTCCCTTCACGCAGGGCAGTGAGAATATTGAACTGCTAACGTGGAGGCTTCAGCCGAGGAGCTGCGCGAGGAGCCCGGCCGAGAGGCGCTGAGTGACGGGGGGATTCCATGGCCGTACCTTGGATTGTTCCACTTTCCTCCAGGCCTCGTCTGCCTCCTCTCGGAGCACATCCACCTTGGCCCCCGCGCAGGGCGTGCTAGCCCCCGGACCCCCTGATTTGGTGGCTTGGCTGAGCCTACGGCAGGAGGACAGGACAAGGTGCTCTGGTCAACATTCACCAGCTCACTGACCCCGACACCCACACTGACACCCACACTGACCTCGACACCCACACCCACACTGACCCCGACACCCACACTGACACCCACACTGACCCCGACACCCACACTGACACCCACACTGACCCCGACACCCACACTGACACCCACACTGACCCCGACACCCACACTGACACCCACACTGACCTCGACACCCACACCCACACTGACCCCAACACCCACACTGACACCCACACTGACCCCGACACCCACACTGACACCCACACTGACCCCGACACCCACACTGACACCCACACTGACCCCGACACCCACACTGACACCACACTGACCCCGACACCCACACTGACACCCACACTGACCTCGACACCCACACCCACACTGACCCCAACACCCACACTGACACCCACACTGACCTCGACACCCACACCCACACTGACCCCAACACCCACACTGACACCCACACTGACCCCGACACCCACACTGACACCCACACTGACCCCGACACCCACACTGACACCCACACTGACCTCGACACCCACACCCACACTGACCCCAACACCCACACTGACACCCACACTGACCCCGACACCCACACTGACACCCACACTGACCCCGACACCCACACTGACACCCACACTGACCCCGACACCCACACTGACACCCACACTGACCCCGACACCCACACTGACACCCACACTGACCTCGACACCCACACCCACACTGACCCCAACACCCACACTGACACCCACACTGACCTCGACACCCACACCCACACTGACCCCAACACCCACACTGACACCCACACTGACCCCGACACCCACACTGACACCCACACTGACCCCGACACCCACACTGACACCCACACTGACCTCGACACCCACACCCACACTGACCCCAACACCCACACTGACACCCACACCGACACCCACACTGACACCCACACTGACCCCGACACCCACACTGACACCCACACTGACCCCGACACCCACACTGACACCCACACTGACCCCGACACCCACACTGACACCCACACTGACCTCGACACCCACACCCACACTGACCCCAACACCCACACTGACACCCACACTGACCTCGACACCCACACCCACACTGACCCCAACACCCACACTGACACCCACACTGACCCCGACACCCACACTGACACCCACACTGACCCCGACACCCACACTGACACCCACACTGACCTCGACACCCACACCCACAATGACACCCACACTGACCCCGTCACCCACACTGACCCCGACACCCACACCGACACCCACACACACCCGCAGCCAAACCGTGCCACAGCACAGTCACTACACCTGGCACTGTAACACACGCTGCTCACCTGTTTTTGGCCCCCGTCCAGTCCAGTGTCACTTTGGCCAACTGTTTCTTGTGTTTCAGAATGTTGGGCAACTCGTCCTGAGATCAGAGGGAAATCAACTCAGTCTTTCTCATCTTTAGCTCATTTTATACTCAGTCTCACTCTCTCAGTCACCAGTTCAAGCCTGAGCTCAGTGACGAGACTCTTCATTTGTTTTCATTTCATTATCATCCATCCCTCCCTCTTTTCTTTGCTCCTTTTTTTTCCCAATTGCTCTCTCTCCCACTCTCACTTTCTTTCTTAAACACAGAAAACAGTCACGACACTTTTGCAGCACAATTCTGAGACGTTGCAATGCCTCCGCAAAAATATAATACCGATAATTTTGGTCTCTCGATCCGTGACTGTTTGCGGGGACGCTGTTGGGCGCAATTGGCTGCCGCCTTTCGCCCACAAAATATACAGTCACTGCACTTTATAGTGTTTCCTGTGAAGCGCTATGAGACGTCTCGAAGACGTGATTAGGCGCCGTATCAAATACAACGACTGCTATTGTTATAGCTTGATAAGGGGAGAGGGACAGGAGGAGATTTGAGAGGAAAGTCAGAAGGGCTAGAGCAGCGTTGTGATCATGATACGCTGTCACGTGCGAACAATTATCAGGAGGGAGTTAAAAAGGAGACGCCAGGGGTATTGGGGAAAGAGCAGGGGGAGTGGGAATGGTTGGGCAGCTCTTCTGTGCTGTAATATTCTATGATTTACAGTGTGCGAACGTACTGAGGTCTGAAACAGGAAGGGGAAAAAAAAACTTGCTGTGCAAACCAGTATAAATAGCTGGTTGGCTGGACTCGGAGACAGAAACCACTCTGCACTGTACTTTCTGTCCTATATTTAGTGTCGAGCTTTGGGGTAGAGAGGGGGAGGGGAGGGGAGGAGGAGTCGGACATATCCTTGGTTAACCCAACACCAATTCTGTCCATCCTCACATGAAGCTCAAACATACAGATGTTCCTCTCCCCAACCCTCCTCCTCCTCCTTCTCCCGACCCCTCCTCCTCTACACTACACTACGAGACTCCAACCGAAGCATAATGGGGACTGCACAGTGAGTTTAATGGGACTCCTTCCTTCCCCACGTACCCACCTCCCACCACTCCCTCTCCCCACTCCCTCCACCTCCCTGTCCCACAGCCCTCATCCACCTCCACCTCTCCCCCACCCCACCCTTCTCCCTCCCCCTCCTCCTCTCGTGATCGTTCACGTCCAGTACCTCAGACAACTTGAAGAGAGGATCCAGGACATCTTTCTCCACCTGGAGCTCATGCTCTGCCAGGACCTTGGCCAGGGTGCTTTCTATGAAACAGCAGACTTCCAGGATCTTTCTGGTGTTCAACAGTGACAGAGAGGGAGAGAGAGAGAGAGCGAGAGAGGTTCAGCCCATCACCAGCACACAGCGAATTCAGGACAATCGCAGACAAAATAAATGGATTAGATTGGGAAAGCGGAGGTTGGATTTTTTATTTGGTCATCCGAGGGTCTGACACTCACGGAAGCCCATCACCATGATCAGCCAGGCGTCTGACACATGCGGAAACCCATCACCGTTGTAAGCCGGATGTCTGAGGGAGTGAGTGAGTGAATGAGTGAGTTAGTGAGTGAGTGAGTGAGTGACTGAAGGGTGGGGAGTGGGGGATTGAGTGGAGGACTAACTCACCGAATACTGGACGCAGTGTCGAGTTCCCTGCAGCTATCTTCCATGACGTGGGATAACGACATGAGAGGCATCTTTTTCTGCGAGGAAACCAAATTGACAGCAACGTGATGTGACCTGAGGCGAGTGGGCAAACTGACATCCCCGAGAGCAGAGGAGACTCAAGAAGGCTGGACTGATGGGAGCGTTCAAAACAGACAGAAGAATTGACTAGTTAGAGAAGGGGGGGGGGGGCGGGGGGAGGACAGGACGAGACAACAAGAGGGATGGGTGGGGGGGAATGACCTTAAAGCTGTCGCAACTGATCGTGATGGAGATTTTCTCACACAGACAGACACTTGTGTGAGATGTGTGATAGATGGTTGAAAGGATCGATAAGAGATTGTTTCATGGACAGAGATTTGTGTCGTGGAGAGACTATGGGGGGGGGTATGGTGGTGGGAGGGAGGGTGGTGGGGGGTAGTTGGTGAACGAGGGAGAGAGCGGGGGGCTTTGAAACACGCTTGAGTGGCCCGTTTCCCTACGTTCCTAACGCAGGGTCAAAGTTTACTCACCAAACGCTTCTCCAGGTCGGAGCCCTGCTGGCCCTGCAGACAAGCCAACAGCCTCCGGTGTGCATTGTACATGGCTCGTTTGGTGGGCTCGATCCGGTTCTCATACTGAGTCACAGGTCAAAAACACATCAAAAAAGGGGGAGACGGAGGTCAGTTCGATGAATTGCGCGCGCGCACACACTCACATACACGCACACATGCACACGCGCATACAATCCATCTCTCTCCGTACTGTAGGCGCACACACACACACAGCACTGTCCCACAAACAGTCGTCAAATCGATCCCCTCAAACGGCCGTGAAATCGAAGGCTGATTTTTTTTAGAGAGAGAGAGAGAGAAAAACTCCCTTGTGTTTTTCAACAGGAGGGTTTTAAGGTCAGCTTGAGCAGGGTGCAGATGGGGAGTGAGGTTTAACGTCTCCTTGACCAACGACTCGCTAGAAGGCCGGCATCCCTGACCATGCGAGGCTCCCCCTCCCGCCCCAGACTGTGAGCTCAGCGTCACGTACCTGTACAAGGTCTTCGCTGAGTAGTTCTGTTGTCTCGCTTCTGGAAATGAAGAAAGATAGAAAGAAGTGTAAAATGAACGACGAGATTATTTCCAAATGTAATGTAACCTCCTTCAACCCTACAGAGTGCACGGTCCCCCTCCCACCCATTCCCCCCCCTTCTTCCCCCCCTTTTCTCCCCCCACCACTTTGCTCCCTTCCCTCAGCGTAAGCAGGATACGTCCCTCCAGGGAGAGAGAGAGAGGGAGAGTGTGTATTCCATTCCAATAATCTATAATAATAATAATAATCCTGGCATTTGCTATAGCATTTCTCACGTTTTCGAGACATCTCACGTTTTCGAGACATACTACCACTTTGCAGTATATTCACAGAATATACTACAAAGTGAACTGACTGTATATTTTGTGGGCGAAACTCGGCAGCCGATTGCACACAGCAGCGTCCCCACAAATGGTCGTGGATTGAGTCATCAAATTATTATCTTTTTTTTGAGGGATTATTATCCCCGGAAAAGCGATCTGCGTCATCGACTAATAACCAAATTCTTACTTACTTACTTACTATCTCCCTACCTACCTGCCCGTACCCTCCGTTCCTCCGGCTCCGGTCTGCTCCACATCCCCCGCCTCAACCGTCCTACCATCAGTGGCCTTCAGCCTCTCAGCCCCGAGGCTCTGGAACTCTATCCCCAGTGCCTTCACCGCCTCCTCCCTTTCCTCCTTCAAGGCCGGTCTCAAGACCTTTCTCTTTGACCGAGCCTTCAGCTCCCCTCTCGACTCTCTACCCCTTCCTCGCTCCCTCCCTTCCCTCCCCTCACCCTGATCATTCTCCCCCCCCAATGCTCGGGTCCTGACCTAACCGTACAGCGCCTCGGGACGTCCTCCCGACGTGAAAGGCGCTCAATAAATGGAATCTTGTTGTTGTTGTTGTTGTTAGGTAAACAGAGGCGTGTGGAGTAAGGGAACTTGCCCAACATTTCGCCCTGCTGGGAATCGAACCCCGGTCTCTCGCTTGCGAGGCGAGTGCTCTAACCACTGTGCGAAGCTGAGATGCATGGAATTCTCAGTTTGGTTTGGAGACTCTTTAAGCAACGGTGATAGGTTTCGGCGTTGTGTCAGATACTGGGCCAAACTCCCCCTCCAAAAAAAGGCTTCAGGAGAACTGAGAGCTCATCTTTGGGAACCGAAGACATGGCCATTCACTTATAAGCAGAAGCGAGAAATTATGAGACCGCACGAAGAGAAGGAACACTCTCAAATTCTCTCACATACCCAACAAGTCAGGGTTCAGTCAGTAGCTGACCCACACTTATAGGAAATAAAATACACTTTGCGCTCATACAGCACCTTTCACTTGGGAGGATGCCTCATAGGGCTCACCGGGATTTCACTGTAAAGGGTAGTGACTGTGTATTATTGCATGTGAACGCAGCAGCCCATTTCCACTCCACACTCCCTCTACCCCGCTTCCCGTACCCTTTAATCTTCCTCCCCTTTAAAGGTCCATCATTTAAATGTCGGCCTCCCCAACTCTTCCCTCCATGGGCTGCCGATCATCCAGAACTCCAGCCCGCAGTCCCTCCACCTCAACCCTTCCCTTGCCTCCTTCAAAAGCCGACTCAAGACCCTCCTCTTCGACTGTGCCTCCCCTCCCTGCCCTCCGCCCTCCCCGATCCCGACCCCTGGCTCGGGTCGGAAATATTGATGGTCCAGAGCCTTGGGACGTCCTCCTGACGTGAAAAGAGCTAAACAAATGTAATCGTGTGGTTGTTATTGTGTGACCCTCAATGTTAGAGGAAAGAGCCTTAAAAAGAGACTTCTTTGGGGATATATTGGGGACCTACAGAGTGCCTTTTACCTTGGGAGGTCTCCCAAAGCACCTCACAGCTAAAGTAAGGATAAGCAAGACTTTAAAGGGAATTGAGAAAGGAAAACCAGAATAATATTTTCACATCCGCTTGGACAGCCGGAAAAGAGAGAGAGGGAACCTCAGGACAGGTACGAGGAAGTATTTCCTGACACGTAGAGAGAGGGAGGGGGCATTAACGACAATAACAACAACAACAACATTGCATTTGTACAGTGCCTTTCACGTCGGGAGGACATCCCAAGGCGCTTAACAACTGTAAATGGGGAGGGCACTGGCAAATGGGGTCACGTTTACAAGAACCGCACCTCGATGCTGCGATGGAGAGCTAATAATAATAATCCTTGCATTTGATGCAGCGACTTATCACGTTTCTAAGACGTCTCCTGTATCACCGGATGCACTGTATAGTGAAGTGACTGTATATTTTGTGGGCGGCACAATTGCACACAGCAGCGTCCCACGAACAGTGGTGGGTTGAGAGGACGCAAAAAGCGCTATATCAAATGCAAGGATTATTATTATTATTATTATTATTATTATTATTGAGTGACCATTTATCTCGGGTTTAATTCTTGCGACTTTCAAAAAAAAAAGACAGCGATTGGATTGATGTAATGCCCTTCACGTTGGGCAGCGTCTCTGATCGTGTAACACAGCAAAAGCTTCACAAAGGCAGAAAAAGAAATGAATGAGAGAGTGACCGAGTGAGTGAGCGATTCAGCGACCGAGTGAGTGAGTGACCGAGCAATTGAGCGATTGAGTGAGTGACTGAGTGACTGACTTATTCAGTGAGTGAGCGAACGACTAACTAACTGACGATCTAAATGATTGATTGACTGACTAACTAACTGATTGACTGACTGACCGAACAACCGGCCGACAGACTATTTGCGCCCCGTCCCCTTCTCTCCCCTTCTTGCCCGAGGCAATAAGCTGGTCAGAGTCCCCCCCATGTTATGCGTTCTCCGAGTGTGACTTCCTGTTTTACAGCGTTGCAAAACCCCGAGCTCACGGTGCGTGAATAACGAAAGCTTTACCTTCCAATGCTGTGGTTTGCCAACTGCAACATCCGATTCAACTGTTTCTTCATCATTTTTGCAAAGGAGGCGACCGCTCTCTCTCTCGCTCTCTCTCTCTCTCACCCTCCCTCGAAAAGAAACATACAAAAACTAAAGAGAACAATATAAAATACTCCCCCTTTCCCTACGAAGCGCACCCCAGCTTCCCACACCTCTGAACTAGACAGTCTGGTCGCGGCCGGTGGATGTGACATTCGCTCTGAAGTCACGCCTACACTCGTAGGAGGAAGCCAACAGAGTGCATGTCATTCCAACCGGCTTAGCATTTACTCTACAGACGCAGGGCTTTGGAACGCCCACAATTGGATGACAATAAATAATAATAATAATCCTTGCATTTGACCCGGCGCCGGCGCGACGTCTCAAAGCGCTTCACACGATGCACTGCCAAGTGCAGTGACTGTGTGTTTTGTGGGCTGAACCCCTCACAACAGGGTCCCGCAAAGAATTGGTTGACCGCATTTGCTTTGGAGGGATTGTTACCCCTGGAAAACGATCCCCCAATCGCCCGACAACTGGGTTCCAAGTTACTGCTTGATAAACAGAAGCGTGTGTGGGGGAGTAAGCAAACCTGCCTAAGACTTCGCCCCACCGGCCCGCGAATCAAACCCATATCCTGTGGCTTGCGAGGCGAGCTCGCTAACCACCGCCCTACGGGACTCCACAACAACAACAACTTGTGTTTACGCCGCGCCTTTCATGTGGGGTAGCACTTCAGATCGAGCCGTTTTTATTTTGGAGGAACTTTCGGTCGGGAAAGCCCTCTCCGCTACAATGTGCAATTCGGGATTTATTTTCCCTTTCTTCCCCCACCCACCCACCCACCCACCCCACCCACCCTCTCTCTCTCTCTCTCTCTCTCTCGACGACCCTAAAACCACCTGAAACCGAGATCACCGTCGTACCTCAAAGCAGGAAGTGGGCCACGAGCATTGAAACGAAAAGTGTGACTGAGCAAAACTCCCACTTGAGTGCAGAAAGCAAAAACGGAATCTGTGCGGTCTGTGAGTTGATGGGGACATCAGGGTAGCGTGTGTGCGCCGGAGGGGTTTAAGGTTGAGGAGAAGTATTAGCTGTGAGGTTGCAAAGACTCGCAGGTTGCAAAGACTCGCGGCTGTATTTCTTCGCCCTGTCGGGATGAACGAGGTTGAATCTGATTGAGTAGGTGTTATCTCAGAATTACTGTTTGCATATCTTTTTTTTCCTTCCGATCAGCTGAGTTAGGGGTTTGCACTCCGTACGCTGCACTTGCTGGACATTGTTAAGCCAATTAAGTTCCTGTTAAGTAAAACGTGACTCACAGCACGAGAGAAAGATTACACCGCTTTAATGCAAGCCCAACTTCCTCATTCCATCATCATTTGGTTCCTGTATTGTTCCTGGAACTCTGCTTTGGTTTTCCTCCCCCTGTACTCTCTCTCTCTCTCACCTGCCCGCTCGGTTGTCACAAGGTACGCTGGAGGAATACGGGAGGTGTTTCCTATTTGGCATTTCTGACTTCATTTTTGTCGTTTCGTTTTACTTTTCCACCCCATCTCTCGCAAATCCTGCAGACCAGCCCCCATCCCCACTCCCGCTCCATTTTCATACCCCCCCCACCCCCTGACAATCTCTTTGTCGGTACATCCTTCACACGGGGTGGCTGTCAAGACCTTCCTCTTCGACTGTGCCTTCGGTCATCCTCCAGCCCCTACCCTCCACCCGCTCTCCGATCCCAAACCGCAGCTCGGGTGCAAACCCTTGACTGTCCGGTACCATGGGATGTCCTCTCGATCCGAAAGTTGTTGTTGGTGTCTCAGAGTGGCAGAGCCGGGGAGAGGTGGGCGAGAGGCGAGGGTGAGCGCGATCGAAGAGTTGCGATCGACAGACGGACAAGGAGGATGGAGGAACGTAGGAGGCCATTAAGCCCTCAAATCAGTTCCGACATCCTGTTAGATCAGGCGGCGGTTGGGGGTGGGGAGGGGGCAACCTTTTGGCTGGTGAGGGCCGGATGCCCTATCGGAGAAACGTTCTCGGGCTGCATCAGCAATATTTTGGCGTTTCCCTTCCAGAAACATAACATGAACATTTAGGGGTTACAGACGGGGCGGTGGGGGAGATGAAATGGAAGGGTGTGGGAGGATGAAATCAGTTGGACCAGATTAGATCAACTCCACATAAACCCCCGTCAACTCCACATAAACCCCCGTCAACTCCACATAAACCCCCGTCAACTCCACATAAACACCCGCCAACTCCACATAACCCCCCGTCAACTCCACATAAACCCCCGTCAACTCCACATAAACCCCCGCCAACTCCACATAAACCCCCGTCAACTCCACATAAACCCCCGTCAACTCCACATAACCCCCCGTCAACTCCACATAAACACCCGTCAACTCCAAATAACCCCCGTCAACTCCACATAAACCCCCGTCAACTCCACATAAACACCCGTCAACTCCACATAAACCCCCGTCAACTCCACATAAACACCCGTCAACTCCACATAACCCCCGTCAACTCCACATAAACCCCCGTCAACTCCACATAAACCCCCGTCAACTCCACATAAACCCCCGCCAACTCCACATAAACCCCCGCCAACTCCACATAAACCCCCGTCAACTCCACATAAACCCCCGTCAACTCCACATAAACCCCCGTCAACTCCACATAAACCCCCGTCAACTCCACATAACCCCCGTCAACTCCGCATAAACACCCGTCAACTCCGCATAAACACCCGTCAACACCACATAAACACCTGTCAACTCCACATAAACACCCGTCAACTCCACATAAACACCCGTCAACTCCACATAAACACCTGTGAACTCCACATAAATGATAATAGATACATTCTGAAAAAAAGTCCCCAAAATATATATATATATAAATATTAAAAGGTGTCAAAATGACGTCTCAATGATGGATGAAGAGATGATCTTGCACATAAGCCCCGCCCCCCGCCACCGCACCTGTGATTGGCTCCAGGGGGAAGGGTACCATTCTGTGATTGGAGAAAAGGGCTGTCAGTCATCAGGTCTTCGCTGAAACGCGCTCTGCGATTGGAGGAGAAGCGGGCTGCGAGTCATCAGGGCCTCGCTGAAACGCGCTCTGTGATTGGTGCCCTCCCTGCCTGGCAACGCGCCCTTCCCGAAACGAGCTCTGCGATTGGAGGAGAAGCGTGGGTGCCCGTCTTGCTGAAACACGCTCTGTGATTGGAGGAGAGCCCTGCCAGGCAAGGGGGCCCTTCCCGAAACCCGCTCTGTGATTGGAGGAGAAGCGCCGCTCGTCATCGCGCCGGGCACGTTCCGGGGTGACGTCAGTGCGCTGGCCGGGCGGGGAGGGCGGTTTGGAGGGCACGCAAGGACGCAAACGGAGGAAAGATGGCCGACACACCAGGTCAGTCAGGCGCCGCGGCGGCTTCTGAGGGAAAAACAGGGACAAACAGGGATAAAAGTCACCGTAACCCCCCGTCCTCCAGTGTAGAGGCTCCCGCCAGGGTCTGCTCCCCCTCAGTGTCAACCCCCCCCCCCCCTCAGGGTCTCCTTCCCTTCCTGTCAGGGTCTCTACCAACCCCTCTCCCCCCCCCCGGGTCTGTTCCTCTCCCCCCCCCCCCCCCCCCCAGGGTCTGCTCCTCTCCCCCCCAGGGTCTGTCCCCTCCCCCCAGGGTCTGCTCCTCCCACCCCCAGGGTCTGTCCCCCTCCCCCCAGGGTCTGCTCCTCCCCCCCTGTCCCCCAGGGTTTGTTCCCCCCCTCCCCCCAGGGTCTGCTTCTCACCCCCCCCCTCACCTCCAGGGTCTGTCCCCCTCCCCCAGGGTCTGCTCCTCTCCCCCCCCACCCCCAGGGTCTGTCCCCCTCCCCCAGGGTCTGCTTCTCCCCCCCTGTCCCCCAGGGTTTGTTCCCCCCCCTCCCCCCAGGGTCTGCTTCTCACCCCCCCCTCACCTCCAGGGTCTGTCCCCCTCCCCCAGGGTCTGCTTCTCACCCCCCCTCACCTCCAGGGTCTGTCCCCCTCTCCCCCCCAGGGTCTGCTCCTCACCCCACCCCCAGGGTCTGTCCCCCTCCCCCAGGGTCTGCTCCTCACCCCACCCCCAGGGTCTGTCCCCCTCCTCACACTATTAAGCTCCCCCCCCCCCCACAACCCCGACGGCCTCCCGGAGAGAGAGAGAGAGAGAGAGAGAGACCCTCTCTGTAAATGTAGTAATAATAACAATTAAATATTATTAAATAATACTCCTCCTGTTTGACCCGGCGCCTTATCGCGTCCTCGAGACGCCTCCAAGCGCCTGACAGAATATACTGTGAGGCGTAGTGACTGTGTGTTGCGGGCGAAAGAGGCGGCAGCCGACGTTAAAACGGGCTGCGCTGGTCTTTCTTTCCGGGAACGGACACTGCTGGCGTTTCCACTCGCCCCTTGGAGCCCTCGAGACTATCTCTCTCTCTCTCTCTCTCTCGCGCTCTCTACCCGTTCCTCCCCGCCGTCGATGCCTGGCCCCCCGCTGTTGACACCACGGGTTTCCTTGTCTCCCCAGTTCCCGTGACTCAGAAGCGGTTGCTGGATGTGAAGCTGGGGGAGCTGGGCAAGTGGTCGATGGCCCGAGACTTCACTCCGAACGGGATCCTGCAAGCTATACGCAGAGGTGAGAGTGTGGGGTGGTGGGGCGGGGGGGGTGGTTGTTTCATTTTTTAAAAAAATACGATAAAGTTTGCACAAGTCGTATCAGTCGCCACCGTAACATTTATAATAATAATAATAATCCTTGCATTTGATATAGCGCTTTTCACGTCGGGAGAGGACGTCCCAAAGCGCTTCACAAAACACACTGTAAAGTGAATTGACTGTATATTTGTGGGCGAACGCGGCAGCCAATTGCGCACAGCAATGTCCCACAAACAGTCGTAGATTGAAAATGACCAATTTATTATTGTTTTTGGTTTTGGAGGGAATATTATCAGGCTCTGTGTGGAGTAAGGAAACTTGCCCAAGAATTGAACCCAGGTGTCTCGCTTGCAAGGCGAGTGCTCTAACCACTGAGCTACAGGACTCCACAAATACGACAAATCCATTTAATACGACTTATGCAAAGTATGAGTTACAGGCAAACTTGATCAATAGTCCACACTGCACATACGTATTTCAATGTAGCCGGTAAGTGTGCACGCGGCCAAGGGTCAGAACCTCATTTGCTGCGATTCAGTTACGAGTTAGGCAGATGATTTGCGTCTTCGGATTGAGGGTTAAGCATTTGGGAAACCTGAGAAACCGTTACGATTTTGCCGTGTATCCGATTTGCAATAAAAAAATACATAGAAAACAGGCTATTCAGCCCTTCGAGCCTGTTCCGCCATTTTACAAGATCATTGGCTGATCTATATCTCGTCCAGTTACCCGCCTTTACCCCATATCCCTTGATATGATCAGTGCAAAGAAACTGAATGGGACTCTGATACGTGTGCGGTTTAGGCTTACTCCACACAGAGCCTGATAATAATCCCTCCAAAACGTAAGACTTGTGTGGGTTTTTACTGTGGCGAAGGTTTCATAAGGCAGAGCAGCGTATAAGCGGGTGAGCTGCATATGTTGCTGATGATAATAATACAGTGATAATAACGCAGGCCGACTGACGCTCCCTCTCTCCCCTATTGTCCAGGCCACGACCGTTACTACAACAAATACATCAACGTGAAGCGAGGAGGGATCGGGGGTGTGGCCATGCTGCTCGGCGGTTATGTTGTCATCAGCTACATCTGGAGCTTCGAGCACATCAGTGAGTGTCAAGTCAGCCGGGCGGGGGCTAAGCACTACACGGCATGGCACAGTCCCACCTGATTGAGCATTGACCTGTGGCTGTTTTTATAGTGTGCGGAGGGAGGGAGGGAGTGTGTGTGTGTTCATGCGTGATCCAAAACCCAACTTATTAAGCATATGAATAATAATAAGCATTTGAGATAGCACCGTATCAAGTCGTCGAGCGCTTCACAGATTATATTGTAAAGTGGAGTGACTGTATATTTTCGTGGAGCGAGCGCTCAACACAAACTTGGGTGGGAGGGAGCGAGACACGCGCTGAGGCAATATTGAAGACCAAATCTCTTTGTGCCTTGTTTTTAATATTATTTTTCAAAAGGAGATATAAATATATTTTTCTTCCACAGAGCACGACCGCTGGAGGAAGTACCACTGAGGTGGCAAGACGTTCCAGGTCGTTCCAATCACTATTTAAGGAATTGTGAAAGCGCCGCCTGGCTCCAGGGTCGGGATCGTGACAATTAAACTTTGGACCAGTTTTTCCTTGCGTGTGTGTGTGCGTGTGTTTCTGTGCCACTTTCTTGGGTGGTGGATGGGGTGACGGTGGGGGAAAGAAAAAAAAAAATACAGAGAAAGAGTGTGGGACTGTACACATAACTCCCCCCTGTGCCCCCTCCCCCATGGTCCACTGTAATCCACTGACCAATGCGTGGTTTGGAGCAGGTCAGAGGAGAAAGGTGTCACTTCATATCAGACCATGGAGGTGTCACTGCTAACATCAGACTATATAGAGGTACTCTGTTAATATTAGACTATATTGAGGTGCTCACTGTTAATTTCAGACTATATAGAGGTGATCACTTAATAGACTATATAGAGGTGCTCACTGTTGATTTTAGACTATATAGAGGTGTTCACTGTTAATATCAGACTATATAGAGGTGCTCACTGTTAATATCAGACTATATAGAGGAGCTCACTGTTAATATCAGACTATATAGAGGTGCTCACTGTTAATATCAGACTATATAGAGGTGCTCACTGTTAATATCAGACTATATAGAGGAGCTCACTGTTAATATCAGACTATATAGAGGTGCTCACTGTTAATATCAGACTATATAGAGGTGTCACTGTTAATATCAAACTACATAGAGGAGCTCACTGTTAATATCAGACTATATAGAGGTGCTCACTGTTAATATCGGGCTAGATAGAGGAGCTCACTGTTAATATCAGACTATATAGAGGAGCTCACTGTTAATATCAAACTATATAGAGGTGCTCACTGTTAATATCAGACTATATAGAGGTGCTCACTGTTAATATCGGGCTATATAGAGGAGCTCACTGTTAATATCAGACTATATAGAGGTGACACTGTTAATATCAGACTATATAGAGGTGCTCACTGTTAATATCAGACTATATAGAGGAGCTCACTGTTAATATCAGACTATATAGAGGAGCTCACTGTTAATATCAGACTATATAGAGGTGCTCACTGTTAATATCAAACTATATAGAGGTGCTCACTGTTAATATCTGAATATGTAGAGGTCTCGGTGTTTATATCAGACCATATAGAGGTGACCGTGTTAATATCAGACTATAAAGGGGTGTCACTGTTACTATCAGACTATATAGAGGTGTCAGTTAATGTCAGACCATATAGAGGTGTATATATGGTTGGAACCGTGCATTTAATACGACTTTCGCAAAGTATGAATTATATCAAACTGGCAAAGAATATAAAGTCGTGAACAAGACGTGGGCAGGTGGATGATGTAGGTGATTACACCATTTATATGCAGATACAACAACAGCAACTTGCATTTATATTGTGCCCTTCATGGGGGGGGTGGGAGTAGTGTCCTGAATATAGAAGCGTCACTTAATATCAGACCATATAAAGGCATCAATGCTAACGTCAGATACATAGATACACTGTTAATCCAACATGAAAGGCGCTATACAAATGTAATTTGATGTTGTTGGGGCATTATCACTGCCCCTTCCTCTGGACTCTGCCGGCAATGGTCTTCTTGTTCGTGCTGTTACTGTGATTCAGTAATTGCTGTTGATATGACCCGGGTTCCGATTGGTGCTGTTGTAATGCGAGGTGGGGGAGAGAGAGGGAGAAGGAGGGAATGGAGGTTTGGGTATTTAGGATGATGTGAATTGACTGGACAATCTGCCTGGCCGTCAACATGTGGTCAGCTGACTGTCGATGATATAAGGGGGAGGTGGGGGAGAATGAAATCACGTGGGGGGTTTTTTTTTTGAAAAAAAAGGCGTCTCTGGCTTTTCTGGAGCAAGGAGTCAAGTCATGAAACTGGTGAGTGCACGATTGAGGGGGTGAACTGACTGCCTGAGCGTGTGCGAGTTTGAAGCCTATTTGTGTAGGATTGCGGTGATTGTATTTGTGGGACCAGAGCATTTTCTTTCGCTGTGGTCGGTGTTGAGGTTGATGCTGTCTCGTGGGGCGACTGACCCCCCCCCCCCCCCACCACACACACACACACACACACACGTGTGTGTCAACTGCTACCAAGCTAACGACAACAACAAAATGTGTTTATATTAGCTATATTAGCGGGGCAGTGTCTCGGAGCGCTCAACTGAGCCTCTCTTAATCTCTGGTGGCTTGGACTCTTGTCATGTCGGATGGTATGAGGGGGGGGATGTGGGTCAGTGGTAGGTCACTGGATACTAATTCCCCTTAAACTGGTTAGAATGGGTGTCAGCTGGTGGGTTTATTGGAGTCATTGCTGTGATAACGAGCGTTTTTTTCAATGCAAGAAAGTTCTGGTCTGTCCAGTGCCTTGGGATATCGTCCTGATGTGCTATTATAACTGTGAATCTGTGTCATATTATGTATTATCCCTCCGGAAAGAGGGAAGAGCGTTTTAACTGGGGAATGGCCGGGGTAGGGGGGAGATAGAGAGCTATGTTTGCCTCAGATTGGATATGCTGTGTTCTTTATCGATCTGTCCCGTGAGTGTCTTAATCTCTCTTGTTTGATGTGACTGTTTATCCCCCTCTCTCTCTCTCTCTCGTAGGTTCTTGAAATGTTTAATGTGAACATGAAGCCGGGCGACACTCTAAAAATCAAAGGGGTCATTGAGCCTGATGCCGAGAGGTACAGTTGGGGTTTAGACGTCATAGGGACATAGGAATAGGCCATTCAGCCCATCGAGCCTGTTCCTCCATTCTATTAGATCATAATAATAAGTCCCTCAGACGTGGGGGATTCGAACACACAGCCCTCTCTCTGACTTAGAAGCGAGAGGCTCTGACGCATCATCTCTTCTCTCGCCAGGTTTGCAGTGAACCTGGGGACAGATCCCTCCCGCTACGCTCTGCACTTTAACCCTCGGTTCGATGACGAAGTTGACGGCTGTGTGATCGTCTGTAACAACAAGGAGGAAGGGGAGTGGAGCACGGAGCAGAGGGACGAGGACTTTCCGTTAAAAAAGGGAGAGAGCTTCAAGGTCAGCTTGGGCGGTGGCTGTGATATCCATTGGCTTCCTATTCCTGTAGTATTGTTAGTAATAATAATAATAATCCTTGCATTTGACACAGCGCCTTATCACGTCGTCGAGACGTCTCAAAGCGCTTCACGGGTGAAAGTGAATTGACTGTATTTTGGGGCGAAACGCGGCAGCGACGTCCCCACAAACAGTCGGTTCGATTTGAGAAAATAAGCCCTCGGACTTGAAAACGTCGCGCTGCAATGCGAAATCACCTTGTGGATTGCGCCTTTCAGGTCGGGAGGACGTCCCAAGGCGCTGAGATACACCGGGGCTGAATGGGAGGGTGGAGGGGGGGTGGGGGGAAAGGATTAAGTTTGACCAGAAACTAGGAAGCAAATCATTGCACGTGGAGGGGTGGTGGAACTCGTCCACTGTGAACTCGCTTTACTTTTGTCTCTCTATCAACCCGCTTTAATTCTCCCCCTCCCCAATAATACAACGGTCTCTCGTGTTAACCTTTTATTCAATGCAATTTTCTGCTTCTAATCCAACTGAGAGCCGCAGACTCCGGCACTGTCGAGCTCTCCGGGATGTTATCCCGCATGAAAGGCGCTGTATAAATGCAAGTTGATGGGGATGCAGTTTTGTTTGTGTGTGCTTTTTCCCTCTCCGTAAAGGTCTCGACTGCGTGGCTTGTGAGTGCCCCCACCTGGGTGTTGAGTCAAACTGCTTGCCGGTGTTTTATCACTTTCGTTCTTAAAAAAAACCTGGATCCCCCCCCTCCTCACCCCCCCCCCCCCCACCAAAAAAAAATCCCATGTTAAAACGCCCACTGGGATAGCTGGTGTGAATGTATTTTTGTGGGGGTTCGCACGCCACAGTGACCGGGGTGGGGGGGCGGGAAACGGGGCACGGAGCAAAGGCTACAGTCACTACACGTCGCAATAAATATCGCGAGGCTTTGAGAGAGGTTTCGACTACTTTTGAGGGTGCTACATTCTCTCTCTCCCTCTCTCTCTCTTCCTCATTTTGTGTGTCTCTTTGTGTGTCTCTATCTCTTTCCCTGTGTGTGTGTGTCTCTCTCTGTCTCTCCCTCTCTCTTTATGTGCGTGTGTGTGTCTCTCTCTGTCGCTTCCTCTCTCTTTGCGCGCGCGTGTGTGTGTGTCTCTCTCTCCCTGTCTGAGTGTGTGTGCGCGCGTGACTCTCTCCCTGTCTCTCTCTACCCCCCAGATGTGACTAATCTGTGTTTTTCTCTCTTTGTTGAGCGTGCAGCTGGAGGCTATTTGCTGTTTTTTTTTGTGTGTGTGTGGTGTCTGTGCTGGAGCTCGCTGCCTCTGTTGGAGCTCGCCGCTTTAATAATAATGTGGTCGCTCAGTCCACGACTATTTGTGGGGACGCTGCTGTGCGCAATTGAACGCCGCCTTTCGGCCGCAGAATATACAGTCAATCTGCTTTACAGCGTGTCCTGTGAAGCGCTTTGAGAAGTCTCAAACCACGTATAAGCCGCTGTGTCAAATGCAAGGATTAATACTGCTATAATCCGGAATGGTTTTGCAAATGGGACGCTTGTTGGATCTGGATCGAACCCGGAGTTGACTGCACTGGAGGCTGGTGTTCATGCAGCGATTGAGACTTGCTGCATTGGTCGGACGGGCTGACTGTGCGCTCCAGCGCAGCTTCAAACTCCACTTCCTTCCTCCCACTCCCCCCCCACACCAAGCAATAACGAACCAACGCTCCTTGGTTGGTTGTCCAGTTATAATCTAGAACCTTCTTCCGCAATGCGAGCCCCCGGGTTGTGACAGAATTACCACCAGAGATTCGGTAATAAATCCTTGGATCTAACACTCCGCCTTATCACGTGGTCGAGCAGTCTCAAAGCACTTTTTTTTCCCCCCCCGTGCACGTACTCTGACTGACTGTGCGTTTCGTAGGCAAATACCGTCCACACAGTCGCACCCACTTTACAATAGGTCCCGTGAAGCACTTTGAGACGTCCCGAGCTGCTGATCAGATTGGGCGCTGTATCAAATGCGCGGATTGTGATTATTATAATAGAACAGTTACTACACTTGTGGTAAATATTGCAATGCACTTTTGAGAGGGTTTCAAGGGTTTTAAGGGTGCTACATTCTCTCTGTCTCTCTCTCCCCGTCTCTGTCTTGTGTGTGTGTGTGTGTGTGTCTCTCTCTCCCTCCCTGACTGTCTGTCTACCCCCAGCACTTCCTGTTTTATTTCAGGAAATGACTCACTCACTCACTCACAGACTTGCAGTGTTGGAGAATCTGACCTGCTAGGAGGCAGTCTTTAACCACAACTTGACTTATGAGTGCAGGGATCACACAAACCAACTCTCCCCCACCCCAAAAAAAAATAGGAGGGTCACTAACTGTAAAAGGCCGAGACGGCGGCGGCGGTGGGGTGGGGGATGGGGGTTTGGCTGAGAAAGGGAACGATATATATATATATATTAAAAAAAAGGGTGTGGAGTTGGGGGAAGGTAAAAAGTCTACGGTTGGCCCGAGCACAGGGCTCAGGGGTATAGACAGTGACTTAATGATTAACGTTTAGAGTGTGTTCTGCGCTTGTTGACTCTTGTTCGAGGAAGGCTGTTTAAAGGGAATGTACGGCAACGAGCCCTCGTACTCTGGTGTGGAGTGTGTGTGTGTTGCTGTGTTGTTTCTTGCCCATTTTTATTCAGTGGGGTTCTTTTTGGGGGCGCATTTTACTCGCTCCGGGCGGAAGGGGGTTGTGGTGGTGGTGGCGGGTGGGGGGGTGAGGGGTTGAATTAAACAACCCCGCCTCACCATCCATCCATCGTAGGCTGTCCACACGGTGAGGTCAATGGTATTGAATTATCACAATAATAATCCTTGCATTTGGTACAGCGCCTTATCACACCGTTGAGAGACGTCTCAAAGCGCTTCGGGAATCGAACCCAAGCCCTCTCGCTTGCGAGGCGAGGGCGCTGACCATTACGCCGCAGGACTCCATAGATGTCTTAATCATCCTCTCTGTGAGTTGTTGTATCAGATAAATGTTGACCTCTCTTTCTCTCTCTCTCTCTCTCTCTTTCTCAGATCTCCATCACTTTCCAAGGAGACGTGTTTGAGATCAAGTTGCCCGAAGACCGTGTGCTCGAATTTCCTAACCGCTCATGTGCCGAGATCCTGACCTACCTGGTTATAGAGGGTCAAGTCCGAGTCAAAGGCCTCAAGTTTGACTACTTACCTGAGGTCGCGCTTTAGCTGGCGTTGGGCAGAGAGAGAGAGAGAGAGAGAGACACAAACACACACACACACAGAGCAAGAGCCAGAGATACACCTTGTGTGAAAGATTGGGAGGGGAACGGAGCTAATTCTAGATCTACTTTGGGTGGCGGTTCAACGGGGGGGGTGGTGGGGTGTGGGGGGGGAAGACATACGCACTTTTGCGTGTGTGTCTCTGACTCTTTACCCACCCCTCCTCCTTCCTCTCGCTCTTTCTCTGGGACACTCACTCGCGCACACTCTGTGTGTATATGTGCGCGTCCTCTTGCTCCCTAACCCCCATTCTCTCTCCCGCCCCCCCTCCCACTCCCCGTCTACTCTCTGTCTCTCTCCCCCCCCCCCCTCTACTCTCTCTTTGACTTTCTGCCTCTCTTCCCCCCTCCACCCCTCTTCACCTCTTTCTCTGTGTGTTTGTTTTTTGACTCTCTCTCCCTCTCTCTTCCCCATCCCCCCCTTTCTCTCTCTCTCTCGCTCTCTCTCTCTGACCCGCGCCCCCCCCACCCGCCCAGTTTCTGTGTGTGTGTGTGTGGTGTTTGAGGCCTGCGTGAAATGGGCTTTTTGGATTGTAGTGTCTGTTTTTGGACTCGATCAAATTTCCCCTTTTTTTTTTCTCTCTCTCTCTCTTTCTATAGATAGAGAAGGAAAGAAAAACCTCCAGAGGGCAGAAAGTTCCCCTGGTCTCAGCCTGTAAAACTATTATCAATCAGCCTGCAGACGCTTCAAGGTCAAGCGTGCGTGTTCTTCAGGCCGAGACGAGGTGGAATTTCAGTGCTGCACGTTGCACTAAGGCGCCGCTTACCGTGAACCGGGAGACAAAGTAGTGAGTTGACCACGGACGCTAAACTAGGAGTAATGATAATAGTGAGTGAGAGCTCACTAGCTCTATTCTAACATACCCACAAGTGAGTGAGGCTACTCGCTTAGGACTAGGTTACCAGTGGAGGGAGAGAGAGAGAGAGAGAGATGCCACAAGCTGTCAGCTCACAATAGCTAAGTAAGGATGGCTGGTTAACAACTAGGAGTGGTGTCTGCAAGTATTCCCATTAACACAATCTAAAGAGCTACCAGAGTGAGTGAGTGAGTAGTTTTTTTTCAACGGGAGTCTGGTTTGGATTTAAAGCACGTGTCCTGTTTAATGGTTGACACACAGTTCAATGATTGTAAATGTCTCTCTCACAAATAGCACTTTGAAAACCACCTTCTGTCTTGGTTCTGGTCTTTTTTTTTTCTCTCTCTCTCCTGAAATCTCGTGCCACGGCAAAGATTGCTAGACAGTAGTTATGAGGCTTTAGCTGGTTAGATTGCAGCAGTTACCCCGCCCCCCCCCCCGCACCCCCAACCCTGACAATTCACACTTTGGAGTCGAACCCAAGCCTTGGCTCTTACCGACCTGCGTCGAACACTCGCGGAGTTCTGTAGCTCAGTGGCTAGAGCGTTCGCCTTACAAGCGAAAGACCTGGGTTTGATTCCCGGCTCGGGTGAAACATTGGACAAGTTTCCTTCCTCAACTCACACACACACACACACACACTCGCCTCTGTTTACCAGCAGTAAGTAGGAACCCAGTTGTTGTTCGATTGGCAGAACGCTTTTCAGGGGATAATAATTCCTTCAAAAACAATGATAAATTGGTCACTCAATCCACGACTGTTTGAGGGACGCTGCTGTGCGCAATTGGCTGCCGTGTTTTGCCCACAAATATACAGTCAATTCACTTTACAGCATATTCTGTGAAGCGCTTTGCCACGTCTCGAAGACGTGATAAGGTGCTGCGTCAAATGCAGCCACTGCTATTATTATAACACTCTGCAATTAAGGTGTGTCACTGTCTCTCTGGGGCCAGAATGAGAGAAGGTCCACGTTCCAAACACAAGTACATTTCCACGCGGACATGTGCAAGGATACCCTTAAGCACGGAGATGAGTTTCTGTGTAGGCCAGACACCCGACTGACTGCGCAGGGGGAGAGGATGGGGTGGGGGGGGGAATAATAAACCTTGTGTTTTGAGTTGAGATCTGAGACCGCAAGGGATGAGATGAAACAACAGCTCTTAATTACGTTCAAAGGTGCTGTGATATCCTTCGGGAGAACCAGAAACTCAGGCGTGTTTGGGCACGCTCCCTTCCAACCTTTGTACCTTGGTTACCAGCCAACTGGGAATCAGTTGTCCTGTGTGACATGAGCCTGGGCCGTGTCCCTAATCTCTGGAATCTCCGACCAGTCACTGGGGGCAGGGAATCCTCACACTCGCCTCCTGTTAACCCTGCAAGCCAAAGCCCAAATGGGTAGGGTGGTCCGAGCTGGACAAGCAGCGGGAAATGGCAAGCGATGTGGTTTTTAGCTGGTTAGACACCAGCAGTTACCCCAACGCACACTCTGGGCTCCCCCCTCCCCCCCCCCCCTCGCTCAGCCACCCCTTCCCAAGCCTTGGCTCTTGCTAATCTGCACCTGATACTTTACAAGGTGTGTCCCTCCATGTGTGGGGCGGTGGGGTGGGGGGGGGGAGGAAAGAGAGAGAGAGAGAGCGCATTCATTCCAACAATCGTATCTCTGGGAATTCCTCGTGGAGGTGGGTTGCATGGAATTCTCAGCTTGGTTTGGAGACACTCTAAGCGTGGTGACGGGTTTGTGTGTGTGTGTGTGTGTGTCAGACATCCGGCTGAATTTAAAAAAAAGGATAGATGAGCAGGGTGTGTCTCCAGAGAGAGAGAGCGAGAGAGAGGGAGCGCATTGCGTTCCAGATATGGGAAAATTTCCATTTGTGGGTAAGCAAGTGTTGGTGTCTGGTTGGGCGAGGTTTCTGGATGTGTCAGACCACTGGCTGATCTATCGGTTTCCATGTGTAGGTAGCAAGGGTTGGTGTCAGACAGCTCTCTCGTCTATTTTAATTCTTCCGCTCTGCCTTAACAGGTTTTATGCTTAGTGGATTGTTGCCCAACCTTATCTTAGGCTTGTTCTCCGTGGCCGGGAGCTGGGCAGGCAAGGGCAAGCCACAAAGCACCGCCCTCGCAAGCCCGTAGTACAAAGAAAATGCCTAATCTGCGCCTGAGCGAACGCCTAGGGTTACGAGTTTTTTTTTTTTCCGTAGTCGATCATGTCGTTCAGCCACACAAGCCCAGTGGCTCCGCTTTACGGTACACTCTGAGACGTCCTTCCCAGCGCGCAAGGTGCTGTATCTTCGAGGCGTCTTGAAGACGTGATTGTAATAATACAATGCTAATCCTTGCCTTATCACGTATTCCAGACACCTCAAACCCCTTCACACGATACACTGCAAAGTGAGTCGACTGTATATTATAAGGCTCTATATGAAATGCAAGGATTATTAAATCAAATGCAAGACTTATTACGGGGTCTCCGAGCTCAGGGGTTGGAGCACTCGCCTCGCAAGCGAGAGGACATGGGTTCAATTCCCAGGCAAAACTTTAGGCAAGTTTCCTTGCTCCACGCACTCACACACACGCCTCTGTTTACCAGAGGTAAGTAGGAACCCGGTTCTTAGTCGATTGGCGGATTGCTTTTCGGGGGAAATAATCCCTTACCTCCATACCCCCTAAAAGACCCTTCAGCCTAATCCCACCTCCTAGTTTGCAGAATCCCCACTCACAGCTGTTGCTTACCACAGGGAACCACTGCTGGCAACCAATCCCTTTGCCCCCCCCACCCCCCCCAGCCTTCAGCCTCTGCCCCCCCTTCTCTGCAACTCCTCCACCTCGCCCCCACCTCCCCTCCCCCCTCTCCCGTCAAGGATTGTCTCAAGACCCTCCTCTTGGACCGCTGCCTTCGATCATCTTCCCAACCCTCCCTGCTCTCCACCCAGCCGACTGTGTCAACGGTGTTGAAGATGAACCAACCCAAATACCTCTTTGTTCTTGTGCTCAAAGCCACTTTAATCATTTTATTTTTATCGTGACAACCCTCTCCGGCAGTGCTCTCTCTCGGTAGTCCCGGTTCCTGAGCCGGGAGGGTCCATAGATTCCAGGGCACTCACTGCTGATGGCAGGACCTGGAAGGGCTGACCAGTCATTGCGGGCAGGGAATCCTCCCACCCGCTCGGCTTCTGTTAGCCCTGCAGCCAAAGCCCAAATGGGTGGGGTGGTCCTAGCTGGACAAAGCAACACTCCAGTTGCACCCAAACTATCAAACACTTATGTACAAGCGTGGTGTGTGGGGGTCAGTTTTGGGGGGCGATGGTGGGATGTTACGGGGGTGTGAGGGGTGAGGTTTCTGGATGAGCTGCGAGATCTGGAACTCCTTTCTGTTTCATTTCAGTAGCATGTGGTGTTTGTAGTAGTTATCCCTCTTGGTGGGTGGGTGGGTAGGTAGGTGGGCTGTGCTGAGGATTACCGCCTGTGCTTGAAGTAAGCTGCCACTGAAAGATGGAGAGAGAGAGAGAAAAGGTAGAAGCATTGAGCCTCTGGTGAATTAGCACCATACCCATACCGTCCCTCCGCTCAGCGGGCTCCAGCCTACTCCAGGTCCCCCGCCCTGCCCGCCTGAAGATGGAGAGGGAAGGGGCAAGGTGGAGGGATAGAGGATGAGTCTTCCAGGGTTTCAGGGCGTAGTGGCTGAAAGCGCGGCCACTGCTGGTGGAACGGAGGGCACGAGGGACAAGCAGAAGCCCCAGCTTGTCTAATGGTTGCTTGTTGCTCTAACCACTGGGGGGGGGGGATTCATGCTCACTACCGCTTAAAGGGGTTCCTCTTACCCGTGTACTCCTGGGGAGACATGGGCTGTTCCATGACCCTTGTGAAGGCCACCACCCATTCCTGCTGCTCCATCTCCGTCTCGCAGATGAACAGGAAGTTCCTCTCCGGTGTGACAATGGTGATTCCGAACTCCCAGCTCCCCCCCCGCTGGGGGCCAAGCAGTACGTTCGCCGACACCGAGTACCCGTTGTCCTTGCTGCCGATAAACACCTCTCCCTTAGCATAGGCGTCCTACAACAACAGCAATCATCAGCACAATCCTGGCACGTGGCGTCCTGAAGCTCACCTGCTCTGCAGGACCCCACGTTAAGAGCATTTGTCTCGCGACTTAAGAGAGGACCCGGGTTCGATTCCCGGACAGGACCTCCCGACGTGTCAATGTAACGTGTCGTCGTCGTGCTTTTGGTTTTGTTGTTAACGTACCAGAGGATCTTTGAAGTACATCAGCCTCCGGTGGTCCAAGGAAAACCAGCGTTTCTTAAAGCCTTCTGTTTGCTGGGAGCAAAGAGAGATCAGACGTCAGGGTCTGGGGGAAGGGAGGAGTTGTTTTTTTTTGTGTGTGTGGGGGATCAGTCGGGTGTCTGACACACATGGAAACCCATCGCTGTTGCTTAAGAGTCTCCAAACCAAGCTGAGAATTCCATGCATCCCATGAAAATCCCAGAGATAGATTGTTGGACTGGAATGCGCTCTCTCTCTCTCTCTCTCTCTCTTTCTCTCTCTCTCTCGCTTCCTGCTAAACTAATCTAGGAAAGCATTTAGGCGCAGGTTGCAAGAGCCAAGGCTTGAGGGGGGGGTGGGGGGAGAGCCCAGAGTGTGCGTTGGAGTAACTGCTGGAGTCTGAACCAGCTAAAACCCCATGGATTGCCATTCCGAAACCGAGCCACAAACCTGCGCTGACTCGCAGAGCAAAAGGCAGGGAACGCCCAGAATTTGGTTGGTTGGGGGGGGGGGGGGAAGGAAGGAAGGAGTCCGTACCTTGGGCCCTGTCTTTTCCATGTAGCCTTCCTTCAGAAAATTCCTGGTCAGTTTGAGCTTGAGCTGCAACAGGGAAGGTGGAGGTTAGTTAACGGGGAGTTAGACATTGCGGCCAACAATGAATGGGCGGGGGGATCAATTTAACTCTTCCCCCACTTCCCCCTCAAAAAAACACACCTCCAAATAAAACCTCCCCATTTTCCAGCCGTTCTTGCCTTCAGCATCTCTGCCCCAACACTCTGGAACTCCCTCCACCTCACGCCCTCCCTCGTCTCCTTCAAGGACCTTCATCTTCGACTGTGCCTTCGGCCACTCTCCCACCCCCACCCACTCTGCCCTCCGCCCCTCCTGACCCCACCTCTCAGCTCGGGTTCCAAAGTCCTGAGTGTCCAGCGCCCTGGGACATCTCTCTGACGCGAAGGGGTGCTGTACAAGCGTTTAATTTGCTGTTGTCGTTCCCCTTCTTTCCCTCCTCCCTCCCTCTCCCCTCTCTCTCTTCTCTCCCTCTGCCAGCAATAATCTCCCTCTTACCTCATTGTCGCTCGCCCCTGGAAAGGCAACTTGGAGATAGTAGAACTGCACTGATCGAAAGGCGTTGAGCCAATCCACGATCTCCTGTCAACAGAACGTGGAGGAGTGGGTGAGTGGGAGGTGGTGGGGGTGGGGAAGGCGGAGGTGGGGGGGGCAAGGTCGGGCGGGGAGGGGGGGAAGAGAGGTGGGGGTAAATGAGCGGTAGATTTTTGGCTCAATAGAAGACGAAACGGCCTTAATTCAGTCCGTATCCTCTCCTGACAAACGTGTAAACCTGTCACCTGTGACGAGAGATGCTAAGCAACAGGATTAGAGACAGAGGAGAGCAGTGAGGCTGACGCCAGTGTTAGAGATAGAGGAAAGTAACAAGACTGATCCTAGTGTTAGAGACAGAGGAGAGTAACAAGACTGATCCCAGTGTTAGAGACAGAGGAGAGTAAAAAGACTGATCCCAGTGTTAGAGACAGAGGAGAGTAACAAGACTGATCCCAGTGTTAGAGACAGAGGAGAGTAACAAGGTTGATCCCAGTGTTAGAGTCAGGGGAGAGCAGTGAGGCAGAAACCCGTCACCGTGACCAGCCGGGTATCTAACACACACAGAAACCCGTCACCGTGACCAGCCGGGTATCTAACACACACAGAAACCCGTCACCGTGACCAGCCGGGTATCTAACACACACAGAAACCCCCTGAGAGGTGAGAGGAAGCGAGAGAGAGAGAGTGCGAGACTGGGCTGAGAGCTGGCAGAGTGACAGGAAGCCAGGGACAGACTGCCATATCTCCGCGCTTCACCTTTCCCTCCTCATGGTAAACAAAGATATTCCTGGTGCTGTTGTCCTTCAAGTAGGTGATCTGCAGACCGTTGGGGTTCCCGATCTTGGCCGGCTGGAAGGTGGCGTTCATGTTGTCCACTCTTATGGATGCTTTTGGCTCCTTGGCCTGCGGGATGGGATGGGAGCGACTAAGCAATGGTAGCAAGAGTCCGAGGAGAACAGGGAGGCTGATCCCAGTGATAGAGACAGAGGAGAATGCTACGGAGAAACTATTTGCTCTCGTGAGCCGGGTGGTTGGCGAAGGGGGGGGATTCCAGAGCAAAAGAGCATCATCTTATAATTCGAGGTTGACCGCAGTGTTAGAGACAGAGGAACGTGATGCGACACAGACGAAGAGCTGAGGGGGATGTGAACATAAGTTGGCACATTGGTCTAAGTCCGGTGAGATGCTCTGAGCAGTTCAATCTGCTGCACGACCACAAATAACACCTTGTGTTTTTCTTCTCTCTGTGCAGTGGCGAGGAGAGGACACCGAAAGAGCGAGAGAAAGAGAAAGCGAGAGAGAGAGAGAGAGAGAGATACTCACATCATTCTTGGCAAAGTATTTCAGGATCCCGTCTCTTTCGGTCAAGATGAACTTTCTGTTCAGGAAGAGCCCGTTGTCTCGTCCACGTTTCCATAGAAATCCTTCCCGGTAACCTGCGTGCGGGGGAGAGAGAGAGAGAGAGCGAGAGAGAGGAGCGAGAGACGGGAAAAAAAAAAGGTCAACGTAAGAATATATTTGAGAGGAACGGCTCAGTCAAAGGCAGAGACATTGGTAAAAAAAAATTTTTAACTCTATTTTTAAGAGCGGTAACGTGTTTAAAATTGGCATCAGTCAGCGTAAAGATATCTCTAGATCTATGTCTCTATATGGGCCGCTGAGTTTCACCCACAAAGTATACAGTCGAATCACTTTACAGTATGTATCCTGTGCAGGGCTTTGAGATGTCTCGCAGACGTGATATCAAATGCAAGCAATATTATTACCATCATTAATTATTATTAATAATAATACAAATAATAACGACCCGTGCATTTGATTTAGTGCCTTATTGTGCCTTATCGGAGACGTCTCGAAGCACTTCACAGGATACGCTGTAAGGTATTCTGTGGGCAAATCGCGGCAGCCAATTGCGCACAGCAGCGTCCCCACAAACAGTCGTGGATTGAGTGACCGCATTATTATTATTATTATTTTGAAGGGATTATAATAATAATAATAATAATCCTTGCATTTGATATAGCGCTTTTCACGTCGGGAGGACGTCCCAAAGCGCTTCACAGAATATACTGTAAAGTGAATTGACTGTATATATGTGGGCGAACGCGGCAGCCGATTGCGCACAGCAATGTCCCACAAACAGTCGTAGATTGAAAATGACCAATTTATTATTGCATTTGGTTTTGGAGGGATTATTATTAGGCTCTGTGCGGAGTAAGGAAACTTGCCCAAGGTTTCGCCCTCTGCCTGGAATTGAACTCAGGTCTCTCACTTGCAAAGCGAGTGCTCTAACCACTGAGCTACATTACCCCCAGAAAAGCGATCCACCAATTGACTAACAACCGGGTTCCTATTTACTGTGTGGGTAAACAGGGGTGTGTGTGAGTGAGTGAGTGAGTGTGGAGTAAGGAAACTCGCCCAAAGTTTCGCCCCAAACCCGTCCGGGAAACAAACCCGGGTCCTCCCCCTGAAGGAGAGGGGTGGGGTAGGGGAGTGAGAGACACAGCGGGAAGATATCTCCCTGGGGGAGAGTGAGAGAGAGAGAGAGAGAGAGAGAGAGGTGGGAGTGCGAGACGGCAATGGTGTACAAATATAGCCTCTTATTTAACGCAGAGTGATGTGGCAGTTGACAGCAGCATTGACTTCCCTTTGCGCGTTGGGGTCGGAGTGATTCGTGGGGCCGCGAATTCCTGGTAAAACGACAGGATCGTAAATGTGAGTTTCTATTTTATTAACTGTGGCTAAATATGGCCCAAATGTAAACCACCCAACCACTCCGGGGTCTCTGCCAGACTCCAGCCTGCTCACTCTGAACGGAAGCGCACTCACACACTCACACACTCACTCACTCATGCACTCATTCACATACACTCACACATACTCACTCTCTCACTCACCCACACACAGACAGACTATCACACTCACAGACTCACACACTCAGTCACACACACAGACTCAAACTCACATACACACTCACTCACAGACTCAAACTCACACACACACTCACACACACACACATACACAGACTCACTCACTCACACACAGACTCACTCACTCACTCACTCACACACACACACTCACANACACACAGACTCACCCACACTCACTCACTCACTCACTCACTCACTCACACACACACACACAGAATCTCACACACTCACTCACACACACTCACACACACACACAGACTCACTCACTCACACACAGACTCACTCACTCACTCACTCACATACAGACTCACTCACTCACTCACTGACTCACACACAGGCAAATCAGGAAATGTCAGTAGGGACTTGGTGAATATGTGCCTCTGCCCAGCCTGCCTCAGTGAGTCAGTCAGTCAGTCAGAACAGCAACTTCCCCAGTGCTCCTGGTGTAGGGTAGCGTCCCAGAGAGCTTGATGCTGAGCCGGAGGGAGGGGGAGAAGGTGACCGGAGGCGCGGTCAAAGAGGAAGGTCTTCAGAAGATGGGGAAGGAAGGATAGTGCAAGGATTGAGGGACAGAGTTTCGGGCACAGGGCTGAACGACGTGACGAGTTGCTACCTCAAAGGGAAGGAAAACAGTCACTACACTTTAAAGTAATTATTGCAAAGGAGCATCGAGAGGGTTTCAATGACGAAGTGGGCGACATTCTCCTTTTTTTCTCTCTCTCTCTCTCTCTCTGTGGTCTCTCTCCCTCTCCGTGTCTCTATCAAACACAGGCACGATAATGATGGTCTTGATCATTGTGCTGTTGTCACACTCACCCGTGGAATAGGGCAGTTCTTTCCCAGCTTCCAAAAAGTCCTTTCGCTCATACTTTGCCCTGATCCACTGCTCCAGCTGTACTCTGTGCGCCGGTGGCGGGGGGGGCGGAGGGGAAGAAAAAAGAGCATAGAGTGATTACAAACATAAGTCAGCGTGTCACAGACTCTGCTAATCCCCCCTCCCCATCGACAGACGAGTGGGTGGGCTGAGTTTCAGCCACTCTGTCCCCACACTCTCTGGAACTCCAACCTGAAGTCTCTCCCCATCTCCCTCCCTCCCCCCCCCCCCACCCCCAAAATCGCTTTGAAAGGCGCTGCGTCAAATGCAAAGGTTATCGTAGATTTGTAGAAGTAGCGCGGCGGTCAGAGAGCTCGCCTCGCAAGCGAGAGGACCCGGGTTCGATTCCCGGGCGGGTCAGGGTGAAATCTTGTGCAAGTTTCCTTACTCCAGACACACACACACACACACGCACACTGTGCTGTGCGCAATTGGCTTCCGCGTTTCGCCCACAAAACATACAGTCGCTCCACAAAGGTGTGTTCCGCGAAGCCCTTTGAGACGCCTCGAAGGTGTGATAAGGCGCCGTATCAAATGCAAGGATTATTACGATTATTATTATTAGTGCTATTATTATTCAGAATAGAAACGGCAATTGCCCACTTCACTCACCGGGTGTCAATGTAGGTTGGTTTGTAGTAATAAACAGGGACGTGAGCTTCATATTTAACCCTGGCGGCTTCATTGCCGTTCTGACGCATAAACTGGAAACAGGAGAGAGAGAGAGAAATTTTGAGCTTATAAAGAAGTCATTTGTTGAGTCCGTTCCATTTCACAGCACTCTCTCTCTCTCTCTCTCTCTCTCTCTCTCCATGAGCGAGCTGTGTGGTTTCAGCTGGTTAGACTCCAGCAGTTATCCCAGCGCACACTCCGAGCTCTCTCAGGGTTTGGCTCTTGCAAACCAGCGCCCTAATACTCTCCGGAATTTGGCAAAGCGGGATGCATCCGTCCAGGGAGAGAGAGAGAGAGAGAGAGCGAGAGAGAGAGCTCATTCCATTCCAACCATCTATCTCTGAGACGTAAACGTGTAGGTGGGATGTGGGGAATTCTTCGTTGAGTTTGGAGACGTATTAAGTGACGGTGACGGGTTTCCGTGTGTGTCAGACACCGGCTGGTCACGGTGACGGGTTTCCGTGTGTGTCAGACACCCGGCTGGTCACGGTGACGGGTTTCCGTGTGTGTCAGACACCCGGCTGGTCACGGTGACGGGTTTCCGTGCGTGTCAGACACACGGCCGGTCACGGTGACGGGTTTCCGTGTGTGTCAGACACACGGCCGGTCACGGTGACGGGTTTCCGTGTGTGTCAGAGGAGATAGAGAGCGAGCGAGAGCCCGAGAGACCCAGTGCTTTACCTGTATCTGCTCGTCATCCCAGGGGTCGAGGATGAGAGACTTGATTTTGCTGATGTCTGGAATGTTTCGGTGAATTCCGGAGCAGTTTGTGCAAATGAAGATTCCCAGCGTGTAGGAGGCCCATTCCGGCTCTGACAGACAGACGCAATCACAACGAGAAAATAATTATTATCATCATCATCATTATTTTAATAATAATCTGCGCCTTTGAACGCACACGGCGCCTGATCACGTCTTCGAGACGTCTCAAAGCGCTTCGCGGGATACGCTGTAAAGTGGAGTGACTGTACATGTTGGCGGGCGAAAGGGGGCAGCCGATCGCCCCCAGCGACGGCCCCACAAAGAAACAGCCGTGGATTGAGTGACCAAATTATTATTTTATGGGGTTGGATTATTACTCCCCAGAAAGCCATCTGCCAATCGACTAACAATCGGGTCCCTGGTTACTGCTTGTGAACGGGGTGGGTGGGTGGGGGGGGTGTGCGTGGGTGGGTGGGGGGGGTGTGGGTGGGGGGGGGGTGTGGGTGGGTGGGTGTGTGTGTGTTTGGAGTCGGGAAACTCGCCTAAGGTTTCACTCTGATCGGTTCCCGCCTGGGAATCGAACCCAGGTCCTCTTGCTCTAACACAACATGCTATGGGACTCCGCATCAGCTGAGCCAGTGGGTGACTTATTGGAACGACGGTGTGGGTGGGCTGGGGTTTGAGGCGAAGAGGGTTGTGATGCCAATGATTGGAGCCATCGAGCCATTCCTCGCAGCGAGTCAGGGCAGGTTAGCACAACGTACCCCGAGCTCACAACCTGTCTGTGCCCACAGGCAGTTAATTGAGATACCTGTACTCCATCTGTAGCTAATAACAGCTTGCGGAGAGAGAGAGAGAGAGGGGGAGAGCGAGAGAGAGAGCGAGAGCGAGAGAGATAGGGAACAGGGGCGCCAAACAGAAAAAATTGGGAGAGAGAGAGAGAGCATGGGAGATATAGAGGAAGGAGGAGAAAGAGATAGAGAGGAAGAGAGACCACAGTCATTTTAACTTGTTCCTAAACTGAGTAGCAAAGATCTGTGGGGAGATGAAAATGGGTGAAGAGAGAGAGAGAGAGAGAGAGAGAAGGGGAATGGGTGTGAGGAGAGGGGGAGAGAGAGAGAGAGAGTTGGAATGAAGAATGAGGAGAGATGGGGGAATGGGAGGAAAGAGAGAGAGAGAGAGAGAGGGGGGCATTGGGGTAAGAAGGGAGAGAGGGAGGGAGGAAAGAGGGGGATCGTGTTATGTTTTATGCTCGTACCTCTCTCGCCCCTCACCACACACACAGTCACAACACACACACACACACACAGACACACACTTGGTGTGAGAGACACAGACTGATGCACTCACATCCCTCGCATTCGATATAGCGCCTTATCGGGTCGTTGAGACGTCTGAAAGCGCCTCACGGAAAGCGCAGCGACTGTGTGTTTTGTGGGAGAATTGCCCACAGCGCCGTCCCACGAGCAGCCGTGGAATCGAGCGACCAAATTGTTTTTTGGAGGCGTCATTACCTCCCGAAAAGGGATCCTTTGCCATATCGACAAACAACCGGGTTTCTGTTTACTGCCGGGTAAACAGAGGCGTGTGCGTGCGTGCGCGTGTGCGCGTGTGTGTGTGTGTGTGTGGAGTAAGGAGATTTGTCCGAGGTTTCGCCCTTACCTGGGAGTAAGCAGTCAGCGCAAGTGTCATTTCCAGGGATCCTCAAGACTTCCTTTAAAGCTTTGAGTGTTTTCTCGGATGTTGCCGTCATCCCTCCGACAGCAGTGGGGTGGGGAAATGAGGCAAGGCAGACAACTGAAGTTGGAAATAACAAGGCACGGAGGGAAGTGGGGGGGAATGGGGGCGGGTTAGGGGCTTAGGGGAAAGAGAGAGCGAGAGAAGAAGGAGGAGAGAGAGAGAGAGAGAGCGAGAGAGAGCGCAAGAGAAGAGAGAGCGCAAGAGAGAGAGAGCGCAAGAGAGAGAGAGAGAGCGCGAGAGAGAGAGAGAGCGCGAGAGAAAGCCTTTTGAGTAGGTTATGATATCAATTGCATTGCAGTGAATAAGGAGTCAGTCGGCCCTGATAATAGACATTATTGAGTCCAGTAATAGCATAAAGGCGCAAGTGAAGTGGCAGCGAGATCAGCCTCGCAGCCCGCGCTGCCAACCCGTGGGGGTGGGGTAGTGGGGTGGGGGGGTGGGGTTTGGGGGCTGGGAGCTACTGGGGGGGGGGTGGTTGTCAGAGATGCCGTCCTTCGGATGAGGCAACCGCTCCGAAAACCCCCACCCCCCCCCACCCCCAACCCATCACGGGTTTGCACGGCGCGTCCCGCCCGCGAGACGCACAGTCACTGCACTTTGCAGTGCTTCCCGTGAAGCCCTTTATCCCATGAAGCCCTTTGAGACGTCTCACTGACATGTCGAGGCGCCGGGTCAGACGGGAGGGTTTTATTACAGTTATTACGACCGCCCACATGTGGGAATAGGACGGCGGTATATTTTTTGCCGGCTGTTACCTGGTTGTTGTCTTACTCCCCCCCCCCCCCCACACCCCCGGCGCGTTCCCCCCCCAGAGATTGCGTCCCTGCTGATGCATTTAAAACGCTTCCCTCCTGCCTCCCTTCATTTATCTGTGTCAACTCCTGTCGCTCCCACTTCTTTTCGCCGTCTGTCTCTGTCGCCTCCTCTTACAATCACTTTAAGATCCCACTGACTGTGCCAACGCAGCTCACAATTCCCCCCCCACCCCCCGCACTCCCCCCCCACACACACACACACACACACACACACACACGACACACATGCACTCACACACACTCACACGCCATAGGTAGACACACACACACTCGCGCTCACACACACACACCATAGGTAGACGCACACACTCACACACTTACATACACACTCGCGCCCATCATAGGTAGACACACACGCGCGCGCGCGCGCGTACGCGCTTACGCATACACACACCACAACAAGATTGCATTTGTATCGCGCCTTTCACGTCGGGGGGACGCACAGATGGTTACACACACACACACACACACCCCACACACATAGAGATACACACACAGATAGACACACATACTCATATACAGGCACCACCCCCCCCCCCCCACACACACACACACTTACACTCAAATAATAATCCTCGCATTCGATACAGCGCCCGATCACGTCTTCGAGACGTCTCAAAGCGCTCCGCGGGATACGCTGCAAAGTGAAGTGACTGTGTGCTTTGTGGGCGCAACGCGGCAGCCGATTGCTCCCAGCGACGTCCCCGCAAACAGCAATGGATTGAGTGAGTTGACCATTTTTCTGAGGAACCGCCGCCCCCGGAAAAGCGATCCGACCAACAACCAGTAACCCCCACCCACCCACCCACCCACCCGCCGCCAGGCAAACAGAGGGCGCGGCGGGGGGGGGGTTGGGGGGGGTTGGAGGAAACCCTCCATCACTAACTCGCGCACACTTGCGAGCTGCTGGGGAGATATTTAACGGCTCGTCTGGTGGACAACACCTCCGAGAACGTGATGATGCCACCCCCCCCCCCCACCGGCCCCCATCCACCCACCCACCCACCCACTCCCCAAGCCGAGGCACCCCCCCACCCCACCCCTCCTCCCCTTTATAGCCAACCACCTTCTTCTTTAATTGCCTTTTCTTTGGTGTCAAACTAGATGCAAATGCCATGTTAATTTAAGCAAATGCCCTGCAAATATACAGCTTTCTCTTTCTCTCTCTCTCTCTCTCTGCTCCTCGTTGCTTTGTTGTGCTTTTTTTTTTGTTCGCCAGGAGGGGAACGCAGGGACAAAAGAGAGAGAGAGAGAGAGAGAGAGAGAGAGAGACCTCGATGGCAGAGGATACTGATCTTGTTTACGGGGAGAGAGTACCAAAGGGGATTAATGATCAAGTGATCAATAACAATATCAACAGCCCGTGTGCGTGTTTGACTCAGCCGATGCGTCCATCCCCTCTCTGGTACCTCTCCACGTGTGTGCTTCCCCTGCACAGGGAACCGCCGGCGAAAGTGTAGTGACTGGGCGCTTGACGGTGGGCAAACTCGCACGCAAAGTACGGTCACTCCGCTCGGCGGCGGCTCCTCCCGCGAAAGCGCTCGGAGGCACCTCGGCGACGCGCCGTATGAAATGCGCGGATTATTAGGAAGCTGCGACGTTACGGGCAACAAAAGGAGGTGAATTATTTTCTCCTTCTCTCTCGCTCTCTCTCTCTCTCCCTCTCTGTCGCTCTCGCTCTCTCTCTCTCTCTCTCGCTCGCTCTCCGCTTGTCTCACTAAGCGGTGATAAAGGTTACTGCTTATTTTACCCACACAGCCTCCGCGCGGGTGGAAGATGCACAAATACGTAGCGCGGGAGAGAGAGAGAGAGGGCGGGGGGGGGAGAGAGAGAGAGAGAGAGAGAGAGAGAGAGAGAGAGAGAGGGATGTGTCAAAAAAGATATCGCTGTCGCCGGCTTTACAAGACGAGAACTGGGTAACGCGTCAAGACATCAGTCGCCGCAGGAAAACTGTCACTATTCTCACACGAATATAACAGCAATAATAATAATAATAATAATAATAATAATAATAATAATAATCGTTGCATTTGACGCAGCGCCTCGTCACGTCGTCGAGACGCCTCAAAGGACCCGCTGCCAGGTGAAGTGACTGGGTATTTTTTGGTGGGGGGGGGGAATTGTAGTGGTTTTTGAGTGACCTTATTTTTTTGGTGGAGGGATTATTAGCCCACGAGTAGTTCCCACGTGCTCCTCGGGAAGCTGAAGCGTGTGCGTGTGCGAGTGCGCGTGCGCGTGCGTGTGCGTGTGCGAGTGCGTGTGCGAGTGCGTGTGCGTGTGCGTGCAGTAAGGAAACTTGCCTACGGTTTCGCCCTGACCTGCCCGGGAGTCGAACCCGGATAAGGATCTGTATCAAACACGAGGATCATTATGGTTAATAGCAATACGGTTACGCTACAGGACTCGGAAACCAAACTCTTTTGCGGAGGCTCCGGAAGGGACTGTTGCCATCTGGTGTTCGACAGCGGAGTGTTTTCGGACACAAAAAAACAACGAAAAATGACCGAAGTTCCATCCAGTTTGGCCTTCCACCTTCCTGGCGGTCACTTGCACATATGTCCCGATGCACACACACGCACGCAGCACACACACGCACGCACGCACGCACACAGCGAGCACACACACGCACGCGCGCACACATACCACACATACACACAGCGAGCATACACGCGCACACATACACACAGCGAGCACACACACACACACGCACAGCGAGCACACACACGCACACGTACCACACACATACACACAGCGAGCACACGCACACACACCACACAGCGAGCACACACAACATACACACAGCGAACACGCATACACACTCACACACAGTGTGTACACACAGAGGCACAGAGTTTATTCTCATTAAAGGGACAGAGCCTTTCTTATCAAACTGTTCGGCAAATGTATTCGCTCAGGTCCCCAGTTCCCTCCCTCACTCCTTCACTCATGTACTCATTTGCTCACTCCCTCCCTCCCTCCCTCGCTCGCTCACTCACTCACTCAATCACTCCCTCACTCACTCACTCACTCACTCACTCCCTCACTCGCTCGCTCACTCGCACACTCGGGGGAACCGAGAACTTTGGACAGAACTTTGACTTGTGTGGTTACAGGAGGGAGGGAGAAAGAGAGAGAGAGAGAGAGAGAGAAAAAATAACAGACAAATCTCTCTCTCTTCAGACATGATACAGAACATGATCCAGAACATCGCCGTAATAGCTGCCGGATTAATTAGTCAGTTAACAACCCAACGAAGCCCATTTAACGAAGATTTGTCTCTGGAAATATTCTCAGCTCCTGAATTATTTAAGCGCTGTTCCCTGCGTCGGGCAATGTGATTCACTCCGACAGCTGTAATTACGCTCTCGCTCCGATTTCGGCAGAAAGCAGCGGAAAAGATTATTGTCGGTGTTTGTGTGCGTGTGTGTGTGTGTGTGTGTGTGGGCGTCTTTTTTTTTCCGCGCGAGGCGACGATTGGATTCCCCGTAACGTTAATGGTCACCGCGCCCTCGCCGCGCGAGCGAGAGGAATCCGGGTTCGATTCCCGGGCGGGTCAGGGAGAAACCTTAGGCAAGTTTCCTTACTCCTCACGCGCACACACGCGCGCACACACACACACACGCGCGCGCACACACGCGCGCGCGCGCACACGCCTCCGTTGACCCAGCATTGAGAAGGAACCCGGTCGTTAGTCGATTGACGGATCGCTCTTCCAGGGGGTAATAATCCCTTCGAAGCAATAATAAATTGGTCGCTCCGCAGCGGCTGTCTGTGGGGACGTCGCCGGGCGCCATTGGCGTCCCCGCGTCTCGCCCACAAAACACACAGTCACTGCACTTTACAGTGTATTCCTGCGAAGCTCTTTGAGACGTCTCGAAGACGCGATCAGGCGCCGGGTCAAAAGCAAGGATTATTATTATATTATATTATTAATTATTATTGTTGTAACTCACCCCCCCCCCACCAACCCACACACGCAAACACACACACACACACAGCGAAAGGCGTGAGCCTGACACACTGAGAGCTTGAACACGAGTGACAGCTCAGCCTCGAGTCTTTCCGACTGGAAGACACGGAGAGAGGGAAGGAGAGAGAGAGAGAGAGAGAGAGAGAGAGCGCGCACGAGATCAGCACTGACCCGGTCTGACTCTCTCTCTCTCTCTCTCTCTCTCAGACTGGGGTGGGGGGAGGGGGGGAGAGCTCGACGGGAGGCGAAAGATGCAGAGAAGTTATTTTCCGACCAAATTG